CCACATAGAATCCGTAAGGAGCTCTGGCCTGCTGTTTTTCTTAAATCACTCTTGGGGCATGATGGCTTCCATCTGCAACGCCGCAGGAACTCGAGCCAACTGATTTTCAAGCGTGAGGATTACAGCTCTGCATCGGGAATAGACTCTGTAGCATCGGAAACACGATTTGTCCCGAGTTCCCAAGAAATGTTCTGTTGATTTTGCATCCGAGTTCAGTTGGACCTTCGAAGACATTCACGTAATCCTTAACCTCCGGGGTGGAGCGTGTCCTGCGCAGCTTTTATAAGGAAACTGCTTTTTTCAAGCTTTCTAGTTGACAGCTTGTACGACATGACATTCGTCCACTTTCGGTTGCGCCAGTCTTCTAAGTTGACTGTTCTTCAGAGTCCGGCTCCCCAAGATAGGCTTTCCGGGTTCGAAGCCTTGTCATTGTGTCTACCAGGCAGCTTACGGACGCCTCTCGACGCTGGCATCTCTTTTTGCAGTCGTTTCTTTGAGAGAGTGTGAGCCCTCTTTTCACTTTCTAGGTACCCAGCTGCGCAAACACTTGAAGCTGTCGGACACAATGAAGACGGCCACACATAGCGGCCAGTTCGCTGGGGTCTGCATACCGGGTTTCGACTTCCGAGCTACCCCACTGGGGCTTTTCTCTTCGCGCAAACCGGTGCGTATCTTTCCGGGGCTCTTAATTCGAAGCTTTTAAGCAATTACGCAGTTACGTTTCACTGGAACCGCTCGGAAGTTTAACGACTTTAATGTGCTCCTGACTGGTTGCGGACTTTTGAGGACCCTGTCATGCGTTTTGGAAACATTTGGTGTTTGGTTGATAACTTCTAATTCTTTCAAAGCCCTCAAAACGGGATTGCTCTTTCAAATCCTAATCCGCGCTTCCCTGCGGCCCGAGGAATTCAAAGCCGACACAGTATGATTGCCTGGACCTTGCACTGTTTGCAGTTCGGAAGCCATCAGTGCTTCGCATACGTTGCTGCACCTTTTAACAGTCGGCTCGTTGGACCTCAACCTGCAGAGTGACTCAGCTCGAGCCCTGCTTTTCGGGCTCTTTTTCGAGTACTTCGAGACGCTAGAGATTGCACTTGTCCTCAGCAGTTGCGTCAACGAAGCGGCGACCATCGGACGTAGCGTCCATCAGGATGAAGTCGAGATGCGTTGATGTAACTCAGTTCTCTAGGGACATACCTTTCGTATGTGTCAGCACCTGTCCGCGGCGCCTTGATGGGAAGGAGACCTTTTCTCACCTGCCGTTACCACCTCCATTCTCCGCAGCTGGCGGCACATATACCGTGGTTCGCTCTCGGCGCGCCTGTTTTGTTTCCGCGGGTCCGGACTCGGGGAACCCAATCTCGGCGAGCTGATCAGCAGCGGAAAGGTGTGGACGGTCGCCCAATAAATGCTTCGCCTCATGCCGGAACGTGGTCGCTAGCTGTCAGGCGGACGAAACGTCCCGGTAAGCAGAACGCCTGCGATCATCCAAAGAAGCTCGAAGATTATCGCCCCTGCTCTTTTACACGAACGAAAAAGCATACACTCACCGGAACGTTAGCTTTTAGTTAAAGTTCCTCGTGGCCAATGAGTGTCCACGCCCTGCCAGAGGATCGTGGCACTGTTTTCCCGGCTGACCAGTGACTGGTGATGTTCCCTCGAATGAGTCCTCGTACTTTCGTCCGTTTGCGATGTCCGTTGTCAGACTTCCCCCATTCTGCGCTCTTCCTTTCAGTGCTATTATAGGCCTCAAGAGCCTCTCATTACCAGCCAAAGCCAACAGCCTTTGTGATACCACTGTTTGATTTCGCCTGAGAGTTTGTCGCGTCTTCATTTCGAAAGCTCGTTTTCAGTGTGTCACCATTCAGTTGCCAAAGTGACGTATTTAGTTTTGCGATTGAGAGCATGATAATGTCACAGGATTACGAAACGGCCTCGAAGACGGCAGGACTTGCATCATCTGCTTTTCGCCCTTGCAAGCCTTCTCTGCTGCCTGTCACGCCCACATCCGCAGGTTCTCAACCCTTGCTTTACCCATCAGTATACAAAGTCGCTTCGTCAATCACTTGTATGGCTGAGTTGCGCGTTTTTTTCTCAGAACACCTTTCCGTCACCTGGAAACCCGCGATGGTGACGTTGCGGATCCCGCCTCCTGAGATCCTGGAACCGCGAAGGCACTGAATTCCTGAAACCCTTCCCCAGGTTGCCGGGACAACCAGGTAGCGGCTGCCCTTTGCGCGCGGACAAATTGGGCGCCATCGAGACGGCGAAGTACGTGGGCGTCGTCAGATTTCCGACTTTCTGGCCAAGGTGAACGACGCTCATTCCTTGATCTCTGCCTGTTGGAAAGATGCGTCTGCACATTCGAAGCCACATGGCACCCGTGGCCGCTGTCTCAATCCGTCGTTGCAACCACTGGATTCCATCGTCAGCCGCGGCCGGAAATGGAAAAGTCCAACACGCCCTGCTTCTTAACGCAGGCCTCTTCATTATCTGGTCAGCGCCGCAACTATTGCTGATAGATCGTAGAAGAAATCATCGAGGGGTTTAAAACTCTGTGGTCTCTGGAAAACCTTGGCAGACGTGATTTTTGCGGCCTGATAGCGTCACAGTGTCGTCATTAAATCAGCGGTATCGCCCGTCTAACTGAGGGAACCGACTAACAGGTCCATCGACTTCTCATCGCACACTTCGGCTTCCAAGGGACCTCAGGCGTTCTCAAAGCTGCTTCGGCCATGGCCATATAGATATCGGCCCCTCTTACATGCAACCGACTGCTTGTGCGAGCCCCTTCCGGCATCTCGCCCAGTGACACCTGTTTCTGCGAGTTCGCTTGAACCTGGCCGCCTCACCAGTCACGAAGAAATTCTTGGCCAGACGCACACACCTTGGACCGCTCAACGAGTGGAACCGAGCTTATTGAAAGGTCCGACTTTTGCGCATCGGGCGAGGTTTGCGATTGGCTCGGATCGAATTTAGGTTCAGGCGGTCAGTTTTGACAGCCGTTGCAGATTTGGCAACTACCATGCATTTGCCCCCTTGTGCTTGAAGAGAGCTGTTAAGTAGTCAGCAACGAGCATCCTTCTCCATGCAGGTCGGGGGCCTGCGACGGGGTGGCCAACTGGTTCGACGTGCAATGGGCCTCTTCGTGGGCGAGTGCATCTTCCCATGCTCGCACGCCGGTCGACTGGTGAGTAATCAACAATAATTTCAATGTTTGCACATTAAAGCCAGCACATTCGGACAGCTTCCACGGCGCGTTTTCGACGTAGTTTTCCAGCCAGCCAGCAGCGCTTCTATCGGCCGGTATTCGCCAGTCACTGGTTCAGTAAGTTCAAGGGCTTCCATCGGCACACCATTCTTCGGGAACTTTCAGAAGGCATCGCCACGCCTTTCGTATCAACTTGACGTGCTTGGAAGGTAAAGTGTCCAATTGCATCTCTGAATCTCTGAGAAAATCAGCAATGGTCCATTTCCTTCCATTCAGCTTTTTGTAACTGCGGTACGACGGACGGTAAAAGCTGTCCCCTCGATAGAGCTTCAGCGGGCGCTTCTGGTGCCTGTGTTCCTAGTTCAAACAGGCTGCCAGCAGGACCCGACTACGAACACTCACGTCGGTAGCAGACACAGTCATTTGATTTTCGTATAGTACTGTGATGCAGCCACCGACACCACATGAAGGGAGGCGGTTTAAAGCGTCTACCTCAACTGACTTGGTCAGTTCTTTCAAAGTGGTAGGAGACGTGCACGGATGCGCTTTATTTCGACGGGGAATGCTCGAAACTCAACTCCGAACCCCAAAACTCAGCGAAACCCCTCAACCCGCAGGTGTATCTGCCGATTCGAGCGCGTGGGCTTTGAGGTGCGCTTGGCCCAGACAGTTCCGAGTCTTCATGGCCAGTTCGGTGCTTGCGGCCGGCTGGGGTGCCGCCACGTGTTATCAGAACCTGGTGCACAAGGTCCGTTGAGCGTTAAGAATGTTTTTGTCGCTGCAACAAACGTTCGCTTTCGTGATAAGCAATCGCCTGTCAATCTGGGCACTTGACCGGGGTTGACGGTGTCTCTTCACTTCGAGGGTCATCAATCAAAATATTTTCTTGTTTGCCCGTTAACTTCGAAACCCACGAACCTGGCCGGGGAAAACGTTATATATAGTGCGTGCGCAAAAACAAATGAAGTCGTCCTGTTAAGTTACAAGTCCACAACCAAAGCCCTTACCAGTATCAGGTCTAGGTAGACGTGGCGAAATTTCTTAGGGGATACAAGCTACAGTGCGTATCATGCCTACCATTTGGTTAAGGGGATGTATATTGGGGAAATTGGGTCCGATGGAATCCTTATGGAGCCGAATAGATGCATGTACAATTTGCAAGCCACAGGCTGATTCCGTCAAGCGCATACCTTCCAAAGCATTGCATCTAAAAAAGTACCGGACTCAAAAGTTGGATTACAGAGATGTCATCATGGATTGCGTATGGCTTATCCTATGCAGCATCAGTGGACACTAAGATCGGTCCGAGATTCCAACCTCAAGTTTAGGGACATGGTATGTGACACGGTATGTGATATCTAGCGACCGTCTCTTTCATACTGTAGTATCAAATGTATAATCTTAATTAGTAAGGATTGAGAAAGTCCATTCCTAGTTGTGTGCGCAGTCAGTTTGAGATATCAGAACGGGACTTCTAGTAACCGGTTCATTATCATGCAGTCAATGCAGATTGCTGCCTGCATGACCAATTGATATGCATGGATCAACTAGTGAAAATTCATGCTGGCATGGCCTGCCAACTCAGCGAGTTCGTGATTATAGCAATTTTGCACGTGAATTAGGCCAACCGGTCCCCGGATCCAGAACCGTTGGTCGGCCCGGCACGTTTTAACGGGGCAGAGGAGTGCCGCAGCTAAAAACCGGCAGCCGCTCCTATACAGTACGGCGCAAGACCTGCCAGCACCAGCAGTACGCTCCCTCCAATGCAGTTCAATTTTGTGAAAATCGACTCGAGAGTCGAGGCTGAGCTGGCAAACAAACATTCAGGCCCCAGATGCTTGCACAAGCATCCATGCATCCCTTCGAAAGCCTGAAGGTTGACCAGCCAGAATTCTTCAACTTCAAGGGAGCCAATTGCCAGGACGTAGGCGGTCTAGATGCTTGGAGATAGGTAGAGCTGTGGCACCTATTCTCGCAATAATCGTTTAAAAGTTCGTGTCTTTGGGATGCAGATGGTAGCAGTGAGTAACATTGCAGCGCCAGGGCCTGATCGATGTCAGTCTCCATTGATCCTTTCTCGCATCAAACCCGAGACGCGCAGCATGGCAGCAGCAATTAGACCAATTTCTCAGTTGGCATCTTATAGCAGGCCTCGGAGCTCGAATCAGAGGCGTCAATCATGGACTGCAGTGGATCCCACTGGGGGGCTGCCCGGAGCATCAGTCAACCAGTCTCTAAATCAAGGCCGCACTTTCATTCAGCCCTGTGGATTGCGTCCACAGCCACATGGGCCTTCCAGAGCCGCTGATTGGAATGGGCAAGAAAAGTACATCTCTCTAACAAGGGCTGGAGGCATGCCTGTTCTGTCAACGGTGGCGAAAAAGAAGAAGGAGATGAAGAAGGAGAAGGTGAAAGAGAAGAAGTTGGCCGACAAGGTCAGTGGACATCTGCGAGGGAAATTCGTTCCATCATTCCAGCCAGCAGAAGCACTGTTGATATACTTTGGATATGGCCACGTTCATTGCCCGTACCAGGTTTTCTGCGTACCTTATCAAACCCCTTCCTCTGTTTGAAAGTTCGTTGCTTGAATCTGCAGAACGGCAAGCTGGCCGTTTCCTAAAGAGCTGGAATCAGAGCAGGAACACTCAATGGCTTGCACCATGCATTAAGACGATGGTCCAAGACGCATCTTCTCAATCCTGTGACCTTTTCCTCACAGGTTTTTGCAATCAAGGGCAAGGGAGCTAAAGTGGAGGATGCGAAGAAGAAGAAGGCTGCAACAGAGAAGAAGCCCCTACTGCATGCGCACCACAAACATGAGCGGCTGGCCAAGCTGCAGCCAGAGGAGGAACGCAAGAAGGAAGAGAAGGAGGAGCAGCCGCACAAGGCGGAGGAGGAGGTGGGGTTATTGCGGAACTTTGGTCAGAATCCTATGTATGGTCGGTGTTATATTATCCAAATAAACTAACAATATGTGTTGGTTGCAACTCAGGAATGGCGTTCACTCAGTACAAATTGCAAGAGGATGGGACATGACTTTGAGGGGAATACAAAGAATGTGAGGGTGTTCTGAAAGGATAGCAACATCAAGCTTCGATGAAATTATCAGCTCTTGACATTGGGGAGACAGGAACTGGTTTGCTTGTTCAAAGACTATCCAGGCTTGGGGAGACCGGACTCCCGCTGAAAGTGTTCAAATCAAGAGGGGTCACTAGCAGATTTAGTGCTCAACGCCTGTTCCCCCTCAATTGTTCAGAGTGCACGTGTAGCGGGTCAAAAGAAATCGTGTTGACTTCTTCTTGGTTACATGCGCTGACCACTCTGGCCTCTCAAAGGTCACCTGACTACATTCATCAAAGGTGCAAAAGCACGAGGGTTTTCCCTTAGATAAGCTGCAATCCTAGAAGACTATGCATTGCTGCTTGCAGGCTGCTTCTAACCCTGAAAGTCCTGCAGAAGCTGCTTCCGACCCTGAAAGTCCTTCAGAAGTTGCTCCTCCGGTTGCGGTCCCAAGACAGTCAAGATTGTCCCCAGAAGGCCGAGCGAATGCGTTGATCGAAGCTGCTGTTGGTGGAGTGACAGAGCTCCTGCGACTTTTGGGCGTGGGGAAAAGGTGAGCCTGCCACAACTTGAAGGTTGGGCTTCGCTGAAAAGCAATCCTGTTAGGCTGGTAAGTCATTACGTTAGGCTGGAAAAATACCTTCTTCTTAGGTTCGAAAGTCCTTTGGTTTGGACGGAAACTCATCTCGTTAGGCAGCGGGGCATCACTTGCAGCTGCGCCACTGTTTCATTCCATCCCTGCGCTTGCTCAGAACCTTGCGATAATTGTGAAGTCCTGAGTGGTTCAATCTCCGGGGCAACTTTGCAACGCAAGTTTGTGTTTGGACTCACATTTATGCACAATCAGAGACACGACAACTCTGCCATCTTTTAATGACGCGATCTTTGAGCGAGCTCTCAAAGTTACTGGATTGGCTCATGATGTCAAATCGATCGCTTAGTAGGACTTTCACCAGAGAATTCTCACTGCAAACGTTGTGAGTTGGTCATGTTCTGTCTTACTTTCACCTAGGTACCTCTTCAATGTTCTTTGTGCTCAATTTGTAATTTCAGAATAGCTGAGTTTGTTGCCCTCGATCTGATGGCTTTGTTTCTTGTCAGCAGGCGCCCCGTTTCTGCGCGAGAAGGTTCGGCACTAGCGCCAGAGGCAGCCCCGTTCGAGTCGCTAGACGAGGTGTTGGCAGCCCTTCGGAAGGACTACGTGGAGCGTGCGTACTTTGTCACAGGTATGCTGCGGTTTTGAGTTTGAGACTTGTTAACGATAACCTTGCAGCCGCTGTGGCCAACAAAAATGGTTTGTAAAGGGTGGGCCATAAGGGGCATATTGGTTCCATCTTTTCCTTTCTAGGGGATCTGGCCAGAGTATGAGGATGCCAGGTTCCGACCAGATAGTGAGAACATCAAAGGAATTTTCACGCGAAGACTAGATCTTATTGTTTACCCCTAGTTTGGAGTGTCTACATTGCGGGTGCAAGTTGAGCGGGATAGAGCGTCTTCTGAAAGAGCTTTTATAAGAAGGCTTCGATAAGAGCCTCATTTGAGGCTGGAAAAGCGAACCGGCATCAATAGGAAAGTCGTTGCTCAAGCTGAACCCAAGTGCCGATCGGTTCGTCTGCGCTTCCGGCCGCTCTGCCTGTCGGGCTTCCCGCAGCCGTTGGCAATCACGAACTCCCCAGAGTCGCCCTCACAAAGAGAAGACAAGTTGACGGCCAGGTTGGGAGATGCAGCCACTTGAAGCCGAGTCGTCAGCAGGGACACTAACCAAGTCCTAACCTTTCCTCCGATGCAGGGAACATCACAGACGCCCTGTATGATCCGGATTGTTTTTTCGCCGACCCCACAGTCAAATTTACAGGTGAGTCACTCACAGATCTCATCTGACGCTCCTGGTACAAGCTGTTGCGGCGGAGTGCATCGTTTCCTTGCTGGAAATGACTCTCGCAAAGTTTGTTTGGAAAGAATTAAACTTTTATGCAAGAAACGTGAAACTCAGCACCTGGTAACCAGAGGTGGCTGATTCACAACACAGTAGTGAGGAAATCATTGTCAATTTTGTTCTCGGTTTGCCAATCTCGCTTGCAAAGACCCACTCATTGCCGGGAGTCACTTGTTGTCAATGCAAACGGAACCCTGACGGAGCAAAGTTCCAACTGAAGGCGCGAAGCTTGCTACGCGCAGGGCGTGATCGATGGAAGGAGAACCTCAGGCTACTCGTGCCGTTCCTAGAAGACCCGTCGATCACCCTTCTGAGAATAGAGCCGGTAAGATGCGAACACGTGCCTTTGCGGATGGCTGGGCACCTTTCTTTTCAGAACACCACTTGACACGAAGCCTAAGTTTGAAGCGCACTCCTTGGATGCTGAGACAGATCCGCCAGGATGACCTCATGCCGATCGTGCATTTGAAATCTCTTCTTTCGGATGCCAAGCTTTTGTACTGCGTGGTGACGTGAGTAGGAAGCTTTTTTCCTGCGCTTCTGCTTGTTCTTCTACCACTCAAACACAAGATCGGAACGCAAGTTTGGCTTGGAGGAGTCTAAAAGCTAGGTTGACCAAGATTGCAGACCTCGGACTTTCAACCGGTCCGAACCTTCTGATGCAGGTTCGGGAGGGGGGAGCAACCGTCGTGTCAACGAGATGGATCCTCAGGTTTGTCAATCTCTTTCGACCTCCCAAGCTTTGAACTTCACAAGTCTGCCCTTTCTCGTCTTGGACTTTGCCCTTAGCTTTCCTAGGGCCCTTTGGCTGTTGGAAGGGCGTTGTCGAGTCTCGTGCTCTTATGCAAAGCCTCGTCGTATGTTCGATCGATGCATCGTCAATATGCGAATCAGAATACTCTAAGGTCTGATCCAGACGCACTACTTGCAACGTTGAAAGGGCCTCGTGTCCAGATTGACAGTTCTTGTTGCTTGATTTTGGCTTCGTCGTTGGACCAGCGCCAAACCGTCGGAGCCACATTGTAGTGAGGCGAGCGGTCAAGCAGTCACCGGCGCCCGCCACCGTTGCTCGAAAACCGTAATTGTTGATGTCAGGCTGACGTCACGATCATTGTATGTTCCCTTTTCCAGGACGTATCTGAAGCTGCCTTGGCGGCCGTACATAGACGTGGCTGGGGGCACGACGCACCTTCTGAACGAACGATTACAGGTCGGTAACATCTTCTCCATGTAGTCGTTTCAGAGGAGTTTTCTTGTCAGTCATATACGAGGCTCCGACGTCCTTTGGAAGGGCTGCCTGTGAGTCGTTCGCTCAAATGATTACGACGAAGTTCCGCGTTACATCCTGAGAAGTGCGAGCCTAGGTGAAGAGAGACGAGACTGAAGGGCTGCCTGCGAACCTACTACTTACAGAAGCAAGGGAACCCCTGAAGTGTGCGGCTAGCCAAAGTCTTTGGTTGAGAGTCATCCAGGTCGTTTGCTGACTCGAGCAACGAAGTCAGCATGCTGCGTGACGCTGACGATCAAGTTGGGAGCTTTTCTGGGCTTGAGCATTGCATGGGTGTTCCATCTCACATTTGCTATCTGAGGAGGCCTCCAAAGGTACTCGAAAACCTGCATGTGCTACTTGTCCAGCCAAGTCGCTAATCCCTAGGCTTGTAAACGTTGCGGCCGCTGTTGCGATCTGGTATGTTTCAAATCTTGTAGAGAGCGCAGGCCTTGAATGTCGTGCATTTTCAGTACCGGTGATCGTTGGATCTCTGCTCTTGGCAGGTTGTGGAGCACGTGGAGCGGTGGAAGGTGTCTAGTTTGGCAGCGATCAAGCAGATCTTTGTCCCGTCGCAGCGAGCATGGCCCTAATACCCACGAGCCGAGTATGCATCGTTCTTTGGTTAAGGTGCCCTTAAATTTGGTTTGGGTGACCTTACGTTGATTAAGGTATAGGCGTTCACAAGACCACTGGACAAGACCACTAAGTCTAGGAAGCTCTGTAGCCGCTTGCAGGCTTGACTCGAATTGTTGGCCGGTTTGGAGTTGGATGTAAGTTCCAGCCCAAAAGCAACGTGAGTCTTGAGCAAAGACGAGGGCCTTGCCCTGCATGCTGTGGAATTGTTGTCGACTGTTGCAATCGATCACTGCCCAGAGAACTATCGCCGCCGCTGCCTCCGAAAAAGCGTTTGTCAAGTGCGTGCATGGGTTGAGGCCGCGCACGGGTTGCAGCGTTTGTTACTATTTGTATCATTGCAGGGGTACTAATTCAAACCCTGCTCAAAGTAAGATATTGATTGATGACCGAGGCTCGTATTAACACTCGGCCTGCGGCACTTCGGTCTTTCAATCGGTGCAAGCGGCGGAAAGGGATCCCCCAGCCTTGAACTCGGAACTGACAACTTTCTGCAATATTGCCGTGTTCGGTCAACGTCTCGCGGAGTTATATCCTGCACTTGCGATTGCCGTGGGGTGCCGGTTCTCGAGCAACGGCACTATTGCTTTTCCGGCATCCGCTTTGTAGGTCCTAGTTTCCATGTGCCGGCAGTCAGTGGGCTACCGCCCACGGTTTACCCGACGAATTGCTGGAATACAACTCGGATTATTGTGCATAGTTTAATGTCAATTCTATGAGGCGACGGTGGTGGCGGGAAACTTCAAACATAGCACAGCACGCTACACACACAGCGTATCAAGCGTTCAAAGTAATTCTTGCGAGGCAAGACGCAAGAGGAGGACAATCCCTGTCCAGGCTGGAAGCCATGAGGCTGTCAACAGGGCCGCAGACGGCCAACCACTTTTGGCCACGGTTATGGATGTCGGCAAGGCCACTCGGGGGCGAGGCAAGGAAGGCAAAGGGCAAAGGCCGCCTTCCTGTCAGGGAGACCATTGTGGACGACGTTGACTCCCGCGTCTTTGTTCAAGGAGGTGCCTGGATCTCAAAAAACACGGCACTGCTGACAGAAGCTGCTACAGCCCCTGACTCAGCAACCTGTGTCTTAGTTCTGGAAGGCTCTCACTTGTACAAGCAAGTGTGTCGTGAGGAAAGATACTTCAAACCCAAGATTGTACAAGGGTTGCTGCAGTCGTTTGTTGCTGACAGACTAAAATGCAGCGTCGCTCTGTGTATTGAGGACGACATAGGCGCGCCCTTGGATGACATCACAGATGACAGCGAATCCAGCACCAGCGAGCACGATGACGAGAGTGACGAAGGAGACTTTTTCGAAGAAGGGACTCAGCATTTGATTGACGCAGACCTTACGAGTGAAGACATCTGGTGGTGCCTTCCATACTGGGTCGCAGCAGAGTACAAGCTTCACTTGGAGAAGATCCCTGTTGAAAAGGGATTTTACTTCCTCGTTGAGCCTGAGCGTGCATTCTGCGTCGTTGTTCTGAACTCCAGTTCAAAGAAGTTCCTGGTTCGGGCCCAAGTGGATGGGTGATGGGTGACCAGGGCTGGGTAAGTACAAGTGGGTGCTGCGGCACTGTGAAGTATGCTTTCTTGGCTTCCTGCAGCCCTGGCTTGGGAGTTGCAGTTGAAAGCGCTCACATTCAGTCTTTCAAAAGCATAATTTGACCCTGATGCTGCGCTGCCGTTCCGACCTTGCAGCTGGGTCCTGAGCATAGCCAAGGAAGACGCATGGCCCGTCCTTCTCAAAATGTACAAGTTGGAAACGGGGGGAGACGTTTGGAAGGGTGAGCAACTGGTCTTTGCGAAGCGAAAAGTCGTTGAGCGGCCTTCCCAAGGTTGGCAAGAAGATATCAGTGCGTCTGGGGCCGTCACAATGATTTTGCACGCGGCAATCAAACCTGAGCAGAGCGATGAGATGTATCTGTCGGGTTCGGAGATCCAAGATGAAGAGGAACAGGATTCGGACGAGGGAGGTCCAAGCAGGCGGGACGACACTCGAAGAACCAAGAAGAGTGTCATTGCCCCTGTCAAGCAAGATTCTAAGGTGAGCTGGAGAAACTTCGATGAGCGCGCCCGAGGCTTTTGAGATGGAATGGAAGGGACAGCTGATGAACTCTCCTGCCTCTGAGGCCGCTGCCATAGGCATTTTGCCTAAGGTGTCGTTCCAAGGCTGATGGAACGCTTTCCAAAGTTTGTTCTAGCCAATCGCAACATCCCTGCTCAGTCGCCTACAATCATGGAGCACATAAGCTCTGAGATGGTCAACCTGTTCAGCTACTGCTTGTGCAACCACATTCCTAACAACGCGAATGTGTACATGCAGTGGGCGTTACATCTTACTGTAGCCCCTGCTGTTGGAGAGGGGGTGCAAATCACTGAAGTTGAGCCTGCTAAGGAGAGGCTTGGCCAGATCTTGGGGCGGCAAAAGTTACATTATCGGGGCGCCGAGTGGTTCCAAACCATCGATTTGATGCTACAAGAGGAGCGCCTGGTAAGAGAGGCAGACATTTGCAATGGTGCACTTTTTGGCTCTATCACCTTAGATCCGTAGACATGAAGAGCAGTAATACTGGGTCAAGACTGGGTCAGACGCCTCACTCATCTTGCAAATTAAGCTTTCACTCAAATCAAGAGTCTCTTTAGCGAGGCTGGTATTCTTGAAGGCCAGTGCCTCCTCCTTTGATTGCAATACGTGACACGTTGCTGAGAGTGGTCATTTGGGACAGCTTCGTTTCCGAGAGAGGAGCAGAACGGCAGGAACATGAGCTGTCAGGTTCGTTCTTGACCAATCTCCGCTCGAATGTAGAAGCTAGAATGTAGAAGCTAAACAAGTCACGTCAACGAAACTTCTTCACACATCTGCGGCCCTCATGTATAGTTGTTGTTGTTTCATCAGAAACAACAACTTGATTGCATATACTTGAAGCCATCCCGGTTGGGTTTTTCGAACATCTTGCACACCAAAGCTCTGATTTGCGCAGCGGCGCAAACGCCTCAAAAAGAACGCCGGCATCATCGTCGGCGAGTCTCCTCCGGAGGGCTCCACCAAGGATACCGCCACTTGCGTGGAGACTTCCCCTTCTCCCGCCAAGCAAGCGGCGGCCAAACGCGGCCAGGGGGGCCCTGTCAGAAGCTCGAAGATGTTGAGGGTAAGTTTCTATGGGGCCACATCTTTTTAGCGACTGCCACGCTATACAAGCGCCTTTGCACCGTGCCTTTTAATCATGCAAAATCTGTATTGAGTCCTTTGCTCATTTAATCAGTCTCAAAAGTGACTTCCTCTGGTTGATGCACCTTTGCATTTGCAGGATGTAATGATGGGGAATCGCAACTGACCAAGATCTTTCTGAGTTTCTCGCTCCTTATTTCTGCGGAGCCGTTTCTACATGGGCGTGTAAGCGGGCCTTTCACAGTCTGCACGTGACACGCGATCCTGCCTTCGATAACGCACATATGCCCTTCATTTACCAGTTTGGCCCTGACAATCCGGCGTAAACCACGTGCTTCCTTGTCCACCTTTGCACTCTTTGTCGCGTCTACTATGGGTGCGCAACGTCAGGACCCGCTATTCTAGTATGTTTGGATTCCCGCTCTTTTGCTTATCAAGGTCTTAACAAGATTGCGAGCATGTTTCCTGCTTGTTTGGAGCACTCTGGAGACCTTCGTCTTTCGCCGAATCACGTGAAGGAATCATTTGTACAGCCCCTGCTTCCGCTAAAATGTATAGTCCTCAGCTCGCAACACGGGTGCCTTCGGTCTTTCGTCTGGGTCCCGCGTCCACCGGCATGGTTGGGGCGTCGTTTCGTTAGCGTGGCAGTTCCACTTAGATCTTCGTCCTGATAAGGCGAAAATAAAAGCTTTACAAGCTGGTCAATTGACCAGTGCCATGCGTGCGTAATCAAGTCCACTTACCACTTCAACATCTTTCAAACCCTGTTCAGGTTTCCGCAGAGCGACCATCACGAGAGGTCACAATGTGTCACGGGTTTAAGTCCAAATTCGAGATCAGGTTGGGCTAGGTTGAGATAGGCAATGGGAACGGGGAGGAACCTTTAAAGTCAAAGCCAAGAACCAAATCTACCCGCTCCACACCTGTACGCACCCTAAACCCCCAACCTAAACCCAACCCCTCCCCCGCGCTCTAACATGACACAGCGGTAACTTAAACTTACATCGTTACCACTTCTCACGGCGACTAGTCTCCGATCCCGCAGGTCAGCTTCCACGAGGGCGGCCGCGGCGCGCCCGTCACGCACATGGTGGAAGTGCCAAAATGCCACAGCGTTGCTACGTTCAAGAGCACGGTTAAGGACGCGTTGGCTGACGAAGACATCTTTGGGGAGGAGATCCGGAGCGCCAAGCTGAAGTGGACATATGTACAAAGCGACGGGTAAGGGTTCGGCTCGTTCCGGTTTCCGTTCGCGAAAAGGGCGCTGCAGCCTTGAACGGAAGATGGTCGGACTGGAAGGCTTTTCATCAAGCGGGAAGAGAGGGGGATCCCCGTGGGGCGCGTGATCCAACGAGCATCCGCTCAATGGGCGACATGTGTTGACCCTCTAATTTATGGTCACCTTTTGACGCGCGTTCTTCCGGGCCGGAAGGCGGCTCTCGAAAGAGAGCGCGCTCGGATTTGATGATCTTTCGTTAGGGATAGACAGTATGCTGAACTGGATTGAGCATACTGGAGTGAGGATTTCAGCATGCATTTGCTTGGTTACTTAACATTGCAGCTCAGTGCTTGATCACGCGGCGAACTGCATTACTGATTGACCTTCTTGTTCACTGCAGGGACACGTGCGAGCTGGACATATCTCCATTCACGGAGGCATCGGCGTTAGAAAGTAGTTCTGCATTGCACGTGTATCTACTGCTCAGGAAATAAATGCTTAGCTGACACCCCGCTGACACCAAATACAGTTTGGACAGCTTACCTTAAAAAGATTTGAGGTGGTCGGACTTGTAGTAAACCGTTTGTACAGACTGTGCGGCTCTCCGCGGTCACAGCAGCCAAATGATGCTGCCGCGCGCTGGCCATCCGTCCCTGACCCTTCATGTCTTCTTGCAATTCATTGACCTGTTGCACGTACTCAATGAATGCGCAAAGAGTTATTGTAGTAGAGCCAATGAATTGAATACTTTGTCGCATGAGGACGCCATTATGGGGCACTCGCAGACGGTGAGAATCATAATTTTCTCGTTCGGATTCAAAGCCCAAGGAGCTGTTGCAAGAGTCTCCGCGCATGCAGTAACAAAGTCTGAAAGGTTGCATGACTTAATCTCTTGATAGGGTCATTTGTGCACGCGATCAAGCCTACTAAGGCGTCACTCTGCTTGAAACTTTATTGGACCCTATAATGACCCGGCAAGAATCAAGTGCATGTTTCTCTTCATTCATATCCAACGTTGAAGGCTCTTTTCCCATGCATCACGCCGACCGACTCGCCCGGGGCCAGCGAGGGGTCTGTGCCATCCGTGAGCATGCCATATGACTGGACATGGAGGGCGGGGCTGGAGTCATGAGTCGATACCCTGCGGAAGATCTAGGGCCAGGCATGCGATATTGCTGATTATCCATGTCATCATTGCCGCGGCGCCATGGCGGCAATGGTGCATGCAGCGGATTTGTTATATATAGTATACATCCTGCGCGGCGCGACGACTGCGCACTGAGCTATAGCGGACCCGCGGATAGCAACAGTACTGATCTGGCGGCATGTGCTGCACGATCCCTGCGCGCGGCCCGGAATCATTGTGCGTGCCCTGGTGCAAAACCATATATTGTCGATCCTGGTTATGTGCCTGTTATATATCATTACTACTAAGGCAAACCTGAACCGCGCGATCAAGGTCTGAGTCAAATCTGGAACATTGCCGAACGACTTCGTCTCCATCTGCTACCATGGGTACGCATTAGGAGAAAGACTTGAAGTCGTTCCTCAATCTACAGGATAAGTACGCAGTAGGGAAGTTCTTGCATCTAAGCTTTGCAGTCAGGGCAGCCCTAGTGTACAGTGCAAAGTTTATCGAGTAGCTAATTCGTCGACTTAGCCGACCACGGCTCCGAACCGACGTAAATTCAAATCTAAATCTAAATATAAGCAGTCGGATCGACTTGGCGAGCTGACCAAGTGAACGCATGCATGATGCTGCCCAAGATGATTAAGTGCACAGCGGCTAAACGGGACAAACCCAGACAGACGGCCTACCAGGGAGCATTATACTATCTCAAATAACTTCACGGACCTTGCGTCACGGGTCTTGCCCGGATCAACCAATACCTACAAACTACCTCAACACGTTATCTACCTGCCAAAGAAAATTACAAGCACCTTGCCCTCATGCGGCTGAGACTGAACGGTCAGCTAACAACTTCGACAAATAACACCTACTCAACAAGCAACGCCCAATGCGTGCAGGTCCCACTACTGCCTGGAAACGGCGGTCAACCGCTACCTTCATGGGCAAAGACTCAACTCGATTACAGACACGAATACGGACTTTACGACGTCCGATTACCGCTCAGCGATTCTCAACGGCTGCCGTTCGCTGCCAGCGCAGTTGCTTCCCCTGCTGTCTTTTCCCGCTGGAACACCCCCGACGCTAGTTGTATCGTAAACGTCGACGTCTTATCTTTTCGGTGCACAAACTCCGTGACGGCCTGGCAAAACTCCTCGGGCCGTTGGATGAGCCAGTTGTGGCTCCCGTCATCCGATATGTACACGTGGCTGTTGGGGATGAGCCGGAAGAACGTTCCCGCGGCGGATAAGGGAATGGTCTTGTCGCGTCGTCCCCAGGCCAAAAGCGTGGGGACTTTTACCTGGCCAGAGAAAATAGACAAAGTCAGCCGGGAAAAAGAAGCCAGGCCATGACTCATGGCTTGGCTTTGAAAGTGTTGTCAAATGGGACTTGGGGTAAATCTCTGGAGGCCTTCGATTGATTGCCCATGCGGGTCTGCAGAAGGACTATTGCTCTCGTACACTTCCAACCGCTGCAACTGTTTTCAAAGGAACAAACGGGGGCGATAAAGATAGGTGCGGTGCGCTTCTAACGAAAACGAGTTCACACGAAGTGCTTGCTCGGAATAGGGAGAATAGGACTACCGCGCTTGCGGCAGTCCTTTGCGGGGCGGACTAAGGTATGACCGACTTGAAAGACCACCCTATGCCGGGAGGCAGGGGCCCTGCGGGGATTCAGGTTTTCGATCCAGAAAGCCAGCATAGCAATGTTCCCAATAGGCAGGTCAAGAGGTATGTCGCTCAAACAAGCGCACGAAGCCTGGGTATTGCTTTACCTGTTTCGCCTGGTCGGTTAGGTCGTATACCGCAGATATCCGAATTTGGTTCAGCCAGTTTCGGGTATGGAACAGGGCATTTTTGCCGGCGTGGAAGAGGCCCGGTACGCTGAACCGGATCTCCGACGCAGCGTCCGCCATCCGCATCAGGATCAACCGGGGGAGGCTGTCCGGGGCATTGGCACCTGTAGAAACGAAGATGCCAAACGACATTATAGGATCTGATACGGCTCAATCATAGACGGAAACGAACATTCGACGCAGCGTCTGCCATTCACATCAGGACACCGGGGGAGGCTGTCCGGGGCATTGGCACCTGTTGACAGAAGGAGGCGCAAATTGGCTCTAAATGTTATATTACGGCTCAGTTACGGACGCAATTGGACTTCCAACAGAGCGTCGCAACAAAAACCGGGGGAGACTGTCCGGGGCATTGGCACCTGTCAAAAGAAGGGAGGCGCGAAAGGGCTCTGAATACTTTGGAACGGCTCAGTCGTGCACCGAACGCAGCGAAAGAATTGAGCTCAACAAGACGTCTGCCATATGCGTTGGAATCAACCGGGGGAGACTGTCCGGGGCATTGGCACCTGTCAAAGGGAGACGCAGAACGGCTCTGCTTCGAAACGCCTTGGTAATCAAAAGGAAAAAAGCGAAAGGACTCTGATTACGATCGGCTCGGATTGGACTGAAAGGGGACGCAAATTGGGTCTTAGTTCGAAATGGTTCGGAGACGAACGAAAGAAAGCTGGAAAACGGAATGAAGCAATACAAGGAGGACTGGAGGGAGGATAGCAATCAGGGAAGAAAGAAAAGGAAAGGAACAAAGGCTGGGCATTGGCCCCTGTCGAAAGGAGACGCAGCTTGCAGAGTGGCAAGATGGCTCTCGCAACTGGCAGATTGGCTCTAGATGGAAATGGCTCGGATACCAAACGAAAGGAAGTAGGAGAGAAAAGGAAGGCAACGGAAGGGGAAAAGGAAGGAGGACTGCAACAGGCAAAAGATGAAGAAACAAAGGCTGGGCATTCTGAAGAAGGTGGCGCGGGAGTGGTTTCCGGACTCAGGGAGCCCAGCCCTGCTTTTCAAGACTACTCAGAGGGCGATGTGAGTCCTCGTGGAGCGATCCGGAACTCATCTCGTTGCTTCGCAAAAGGCGGACCTATGCGGAGCCCAAATTCCGGCCAAAATGTGTGGCGCAGACTGCTTGTCGCTAAAGAGCCGCTTTGCGAGACGTGACTCATGCAGCCTTGCCCTTGACAACTGCCGAATCTTTTGAAAGATAGGAATAAGCAATGCTTTGCAGCAACAGGATCTAACGGAACTGAACTCCCGACACTGCGTTCAGCAAAGTGGTGGTCATGTGCGACGTGCCACAACTGTTTTCGGTTTGCAAGCGCTAACCTATGACTAAGAATCCATCATCGAACGGGGTTGGTTAGTGCACTAACCTATAGAGTCCACTAGAATCAGGTTCTTGATTTGCTGCGGGAACCGCACTGCCGCCTCGAGCGCGGGCGCTCCCGAGTCGCTATGCCCCACCAGCGCAGCCGCCTCGTCGACCTTGAGAGCGGTCAGGAAGTTACTCACCCACTCTGCACATTGAGACAAAATGCACTTCGCTTCTTCTTTACGATTCTTCAAGAGTGGTATGACTTCGTTCCTTTCTCTTATCTTGAAGATGTGGAAACGCCATTCTTGAGAAAGTTTAGCGATTGGAAACTTATCAACCCATTCTTCAGACCCGAAGGGAGCACGTAGCTGTTCGTTCATCGTATCTGTATATGTTGGCGAGGAAAAGGCGGGGCTAGAGGAATGACGAAGGAGAGAGCATCCAATGAGAAAAGTTGCTTTTGCATCATCGGGAAATGCTGACGCTTGCAAGCGTTTTGGTACCCGACAACTTCAATCTGAAGTGAAAGAAACCACTTTGTTGGCCGTCTACCATACCACCCTTGGAATTGTACAGCTTGGAAAGCGTGAAGAGGCGACATCAGCTGAAGTAGTAATCAAACCAGGTCACAGGGAAAGCCACAGCAAATCTCGGATGTGAAACGGTCTGGAAGAGACACCGATGTAAGAAACCTGGCTCCAGCACCGTCTATAAGCCAGCGGAAGACTCCTGAGGCCCTTGCACCTTTATCCTGACTAAGAGATGAGCAACTTGACCAAAGCATCTCGAATCTGTAATGTAATCTGTGGCATGACATCGCACCGCTGCTGCACGGGCTCAACCCCTGAAACCTCCGGCCCTGCGACCTCAGGACTCTCGTCCTTTGAGGCATTAACATAGGTCGACTGTATTCCCACTCTGCGTGCGTGTATGTCGAACACATTGCACAAAGCCTGGGCATGCTATGTAGGTCTCAGAACCAAAATACCCGCTCCTAGTGACCAGAAGGTTTTGGGGACGGTAGACTCAGCCATCTTTCACCTTAGAGCTAAGACGAAGTCTCTTAGCCTTAATCTTAGCCTCAAACTTAGCCTAAGAGCCCAGAAACTCAGAATCTCCGGATTCCAGAAAAGTAGAAATGGTAAACGTTCCCGAATGATTATCATCACTCTGCATCCCTCACCTGCATACTGGCTGTTGCTCCAGGGCTCGGATACGGAGTCCGAGTTACCGCACCCCGGCATCTCCACGACAACCACCCGGAAGTTTTGAGACAGCACCTCAGCCGTCCACCTGTGCAGGCACAATCATTAGACACGAGTCTTTGTCTTACAATGAATTAGGTTCTTACATGATCTCAATTCGAAGCAAACGTGGTAAGGTAAAGCTCTCAAAGGATTCGATGTAAAGCTCCCAGTCAAGCCTGTGCAACGCAAAGTAAAGAAAGGGACAAGCAAAGGAACCCTTAAAACAAGCGGCAGTGACCCCTGACTGCCTTGCCACGGAGAAGGGAGTCGAGGAATATGAAGAGAACAAGACTTTGCAGCTTCCGAGGGATTACCACTTACAAGGCATGACTGTAGGTTAGTAAAGTTGAGGTAAGAAGTTTATTACCGCTGCATTTGCCAAATGAATTGATGAAGCTCCCGGCTCACACATCAAACAACGACCAAGACAACCTTTACAAAGAAAAGGATCAATCTTCGCACGATTAAAGCATGATTGAACTGTATAGGTCGGCAAGGTCTCCACACAGGAACAGGATCATCAAAGTTTTGGGAGGCAATGATTGACCTGTATAAGTAATCCCTCAGCTACGACGAGGAAGCCCTCAGCCGCAAATGAGGATGGAGTGCTTGTGTGGCTAGCGGACCCCCTTTTCCTTCTCCTAGCGGTGCCCCCAATGAAGAGCTACGATCACCAATTCTTCCGAGGTCACCTTTTGGAGACTGGATTCGTTACTGTTTCAGAAGCCCACCTGTATGAACGCGAGAGCACCAGCTGGCTTGACAGGATGACCACCAGCGGCCCCTTCCCTGTGTCTGTGAAAAAGCACCGCTTCTCCTTCACCTGCACAAACCGCCGGTGCACCGGCTCGCCGGATGCATGCAGGGCGCCGGGCCACACCATCTCGAGGGCACGCCTAGTTGGTTTGCCAGGGACCGGGTCTGAGCTACGCTTATGATTATTGGTCTGGTGTGAGCGGGGGCGGTTTGGGAGTGGACTCAACCGGGCGGGGTTATCAAATACGCCTGGCCGACCGGACGCGTTGCTAAGATAACCTGAGCGCTTGCTAGATCCTGCCTGCCGCCCAGACGGTCTGAAGAGGAATCTGGCTCCTTGGAATGGACTTGGTTGAGATTGGCAACCTATACAAAGAGCAGGGCGCTTGCACGTGCTTGGCTTATGAGCAGAGCGATGCGGTAACCTTTTAAGCTGCTGCTCATGAGCTCTCACCAAACAACCACGAGAGCTTTGCCTTGACAGCTCTGATCGCTGCAGGACATTATCAGCGGATTCGGGGACACGAAGTGCGGGCGCCAACTGATTGCTTACTCGCCGCAAGGAGGGCCGGGAACCAAAGCGACACCTTGGTGCCTGTGCTTGAACTGTAGTAAGTTGCACATGTGCTGGAATCACACGTTGTGCTTGATGAGCTGCAGGGGTGCCTCTAGGGTGAGAAGAAGGACCAGCATGAGGTCCCACCGGTGCTGCTGATAGCAGCGCAGAAGAAGACGACATGGACTCGACCTTCCTGCTTTCTGATGCCAGCGGCACTGGCAAGCTTTAGACTTGGTGCGGTTTTACTGGGCGAGAGAAAGCCCCAGCTTGCTCTATAGTAATCTGATTGGCCGGGCGAGGCATCTTCTCCACCGAAGTGCAAGTTGGGCCATGTCATAGCTGGACAGTTGGCATCGAGTGTGTCACTCCGATTCACATGTGGAGCCACCGCAGGCGGCCAGGTGGCAAATCCACGGGCGCCGGGCCATGAAGGGATCCCCCAAGAAGGACTCGGGCGCTGCGTCGCGGTCACAAAGTACGTTGCCATGATACCGGTATAGGACCTAGTGGCCCACCGTCAAATGGCTCTCGCGATTCAACGGTTCAAGCAATCAGCTGAGAGTTGAGAGTTGAGAGTCTGGTCAGAGTCTGGCAAATTCGTTAATTGTCTCTGTATGTTTAGGTGCGAATGTTTTAGTTATAATCTCGTGTCTTTGATTCTTGCGTTAAAGGCGCCGCGGGCAGCGGCCGCGTTCTAGCACGTGGATCGGGGATTTCCAATCAATCGTCAACCGAGACGGTCAAGTCAGCATTGGCCCGTTTGTGGCAGGGGCACGAGCCTGGAGCTGGCCGCTGGCACGCGGCCCACAGGCACCAGTTGCACGTTGATCGGATGCAATGCCAAACGTGTCCGAAGCATGCGGATGATGGTTTCCTTAAGTTCGTTCTCGCCATGCGTTTGGAGCCAAATGATAGGCCAAACTTGTATACGGTCTTCTCTTCGGAAAACTTCACAGCATACATACATACATCCATGTGAAATGATAACAAGCATGAATCCAATCACTGGGAAGAATGAGTAAGATGTCCGGCGTGTATCATCCGAGCACTGCAACGTACGGCCTCTGATTGAGTTCCCAACCAATCTGCAGATCCGATCCTCCCGGCCAAAAAGACCCTGTATACACGATCCGAGATCCCTTCAAGAGTTGCAGTACTCTTTCCGACCGAGAGCTGCCAACTGAATGCCCAAAAGCACCACGCTTATCCAGCTGGTCATGCATACTCAGCATCTCAGCTTGCAGCGGCTCAAATCCAGTATGGAAGCGTGGTGTAAACGATGTGGTTGAACATCTGAATACACGTTGGGAAGCTGCGAACAACCATCATGGACTAGACTCAATCAGGGGGACAATATTTGTATTACACTAAATATCTATGATATAGAACCTGCTCTGCTCTCACGACAAGTTCTCTCTAAACCTCTAAACGCAAAGACTGGAACCACCTACTGGACAGGAGGACTCATATATGAACTCACACTAAGGAGGCTGTAAAGTGCACAATCGTTTAACAAGGAGAAACCTCCTGCAGTCGGTCCTCCTTGTGACACTGCAGGCCTTCTTAGTTATTGGGCAACACCTCTTAACTCGGGTCATCGAGAAAATTTTATGGTTGCTCAGGCATAATTGCTCGGGGCCGGACTCATCGGCTCCGCACTTATTGCCAGCTTATGAATGTCGAATAACTTAGTTCTTGGACAAAAATCTGGCGCGCGCGCCCGCCTCCTCTAGTTGGCCTGGAACAGGAAGCGCCGCATCTTGCGCGCGCACGTCTTCTGAGACACGAAGGGGTTGCTGGCCGTAATCACGTTGATGCGCATGCCCGTCTGCAGTGAAACAAGTCCCGGAACCGTCAGATTACGATACAAGAACATTCGCCGACTGGCTGTACTGAGCTCGACCTGAGAAGCAGAGGGACGTGTACTCAGCGCTTAGCTTGACGCAACTCGCGTGGATGTTTAGGGACACGAGAGACAAGCGGATCAGATTGAAGCAGCTTGTCGGTGATATTCGAACCCATCTCCAACTTCCTGAGGGCACATCAGACATCAAGGTTGGGAACATTCAGAAGTACCCAACCAAGCTACAGTGCACATGTTTGCCGGTGATAAGCAAGGCATCTCCTCGAATCAAGCCTCGAGAATCTACCTACAGCTGCTGCGGCTCAAGGAACTCTGGGTTGACTCCATGAAGGGCTGAGGAAGGGCTAAAGGGCCATGAAACTGTACGGTGGAAAACCGATGGGATGGGTGAGATCACTTAGGGGGTTAGGGTGGGAGTGGGGGTGCGGGTGCGGAGCACGGGGATCTTAGTTTAACATTACCCTGACTCTTCATGGCGCTTACCCTTCACGGAATGAGGAGAAGCCACGCACCGCATGTTGATGCCTCATTTGTGGACTACTTATCCCCGCCCCCTTCCTTCCCGCTTATCAGTTTTGACTTGGCAGTTTTACTTTCGACCGCCCACTGAATCCTTCTGTCCGTCCCCCGCAAGACATCCCCCGCAAGACAGAAGGGAAGCTACTCACCGTAATGTTGATCGGCGAGAACGTCTGCACGTACTCCGCGAGCACGTCCGCGAGCACCGGCCCCGTGGCAAGCAGCTTCTTGGAGGACCCGAACTGCGCGAAGCCGTCTCCGCCGGCGGCCGTGAAGTCGTTGGAGATCACGTTGTAGGTCGCCGCGTCGTCGACCGGGGTAAAGCAGTTAGCGACCGGGTTGAAGGCGACCAGCTCCAGGAGGCGGGACCCGGCGGGCTTGGTCGGGTCGAACGAGAACTTGATGCCGGAAACCTGTGGACGGAATGGGTGCGCGGAACGGTGTCAGCGGACGGGGGAAATGAGCGGGTAAGGGACGTGGCAGAGGATTCAGAGTGCCGACGCCTGGCAAAAAGCGGCAGTGACGCGATACTCTGCAACTCCTTTTCTGTTCCTTGACTTCCAACAATCGGTCACAATCATTGGGTCACCATTTGAAACCAGTGCACGTGCGGAGGCTTTCAAACGCGGACTGACAACGCAAACCCCGTATCAGGTCAGAGTCGAAGAAGCTGGAGCAAGTAGGACCACATACTCTTGTCAGATGCAAGCCACGGAGACGGGCCAACAAAGAGGAAGCAGCTCAAATGAGACGAAACTTGTAAGATGCTTGCGCCGACGCTTGGGCACTAACAGCAGCTACAGTCTTCACTGTAACAACCAAAAAGCAGTCTGGAGAAGAAGACGGAAACGTGTCCAGACTCTGCAGGAGCTGGTTGCTCGCGTAGGTCGCTTGAACAGAAATATACAAAGAGAAGGAGATTCTCTCACGAATATATTCTGTTACTGCGTAGAGAATTGGGTGCAACTTTAACCAGGGGGTGTGAACGTGTCTTTCTGACCTGCAGGAACTGGTTGCCCGCGTAGGTGGGGTTCCAAAGGCCGACGGAGAACTCGATGGCGGACCGCAGCACCGCGCCGGTCATCTGGATGATCGTCACCACGTTGCCGAAGGGGAGCACCGTCAGGATCTGCACGAGGGCAATGCTGTGACGTCAGCACGAGCGTCAGCGGATCGGAGAGGAGTGGGACGTCAGCAACAAGTCCGAGCGGCAGTGCGGGCGCGGTTCTGGCAAGCGCGGCTTTTGAAGATATGCGGAAAGAGATCCACGCGAGCAGTGTGATATCAGCACCGGTAAAGAAAGCGCGTCGTTCTGGACGCAAGCACGGATGTTTCCAAAACATGGTTGGCGTCGATCGACCCAGCACCTCCTGACAGATCTGAAATTAAGTGCGAGGCCGAGCTGAGACCGCCATTAGATTCGAACAGCCTCAAAACCGGACATGATCCTAAGAAAGGACCGAACGCTCTAGGATAGAAAGCTCCCGTCTTGACTGCGCCGTGCGATCTGCTCCACCTCGCGTGCGTCACAAATAGGATGGGCCGAAAGCGAAGCGAACGTAATCGGGGCACTCAGAAAGGAAAACGGGGGTTTCCACAACGAAGCAGTTGGGAGATAAGCCGGAAGTTGACGGGTAAACAAGAGAAAACTCGCCTGGCCGCGCGTCAGCTGCCCCGCCGGCAGGTTCACGCGAATCCCTCCAGTATTGGTCACCGCAATCACGTTGGCGCCGAACTCCTGCTCGAAGGCCGGGTTCTGGGCGACCTTCCACACCATGGCGTCAGTGATGAGGTCGCCCAGGTTGATCTCCCCGGAGCCGGGCCCGGTGACCGGGTCCTGGAGGTAGGGGCGGCCGTTGAGGGCGACGGACGACGAGCCGACATTTTGCGCGCTGCAGGAAAGGAAGATCACGAAGAGGGTACGTTAGGGGAAGTTGGGGAGCTTGGCAAGACGTTGAAAGTGGGTAAGCCATAGATGGCCACCCCACGTCTTCGGGTCCCAAGTTGGCTGAAAATACATGGCCCATCAGAGCGAGACTCATAGATGGGAATAATGGCCTAGAAGTAGGTAAATCAAGAGGGTATAGGTCAATCTGAGTTTCAGAAAAAACAAGCAACGTAGGTAACGTCGGGACACATTTGCAGTACTGCTTCCAGGCGCAACTTCCTTAATCGCTGTGCGCGCTTGTCACTCTTGTCGATAGATGATCAACGTCGACAGGTGCCTTGCAGGTCGATTCGATATCAGGATTGCATGTGAAGATCAGCTTGCAAGCGCTGACGACCCTTTTCCGGACAGTCCACAAACACGGAAAAGCAATCTCGACAGCCACAGGCTTTCGGAAAGCACCCTCATACTGTCGGTTTGGCTTTTGTGGTCATCAGTTAAGAACGACCGTAAGGATGACGAAAGCAAACGAGGAGCCTGAATTCGGTGATGAAAACACGCGTACCCTGCTCTTTCAGGATTTGCCAATTTGGATTGGACATGTGTCCCCTCTCCTTGAAGAGGATTCCAGTCGAAAGTTGATTGGCCCAATTGTTGCGGTTCTGCAACATTGGACTAGGAAGGCTTCAAGGAAATTGTAGCAGAGGGTCCGGAAATGAGAATTTGCGGACGTACTTGAGAGCGTCCACGGGTCCGGAGAGGGACTGGATGAGGTCCGCAACGGACGGCTTCTCCGGGACGTTGTTCTCGCTGATGCTCCCGCCCAGCAGGATCGGCTGCGTCGTGGCAAAGTTCTTGAACCGGCCCACGGCGTCGAACGTGATCGTGAAGCGGCCCATGTACCTGGGGCACATGGGGGGGGGAGATTGGCAAATGTTTGAGGGGGGGGGCGGACCAAGTTGTAAAGTGGGGTCAACTCGTGAAGCGGAGCTCGTGAATTGCCAAGTGTATGTTGCACGGAAAGGTGGGGGGAACCAGGTTGGCAGGGGGGGTGAGCCAAAATGGCTTTTTCCACCAAAGGTGAGGTCGCAAGCGCAGCTCGAACGTGACCGTAAAGCGGCCCATGTACCTGGGGCGAATGTACAAAGGAATACAATTGGCAGGCGTTTTGAGGGGCGGGTGATGAGTCGATTTTCATTGGGGCTTAAGTTCGGAGACGCAGCTGAACGGTGAGCAGGAATTGGCCCATTGACCTGGGGCAAGAGCAAGGAGGGAGACATTGGCGGGGGTTTGAGGGGGGGAGCTGGAAGCGTCTTTTTAACGGCAAACGCAGATTGAACGTGCATGACCGTGAATCGGCCAAGGTACTTGCGCAACGAAGAAAAGGGGGGGTGGCCTTGGCAGACGTTCGAGGGGGGGATGGCTGGAACGACTTCCAGGCGTAGGATACTACAGCGCGACGACGCACTAACGAGAAAAGTATGTAAGGACGGAGTGGGGGCGAGATTGGCGGACGTTTGAGAGGGGGAGCCGGACGACTTTAACGGTGGGTAAGATCAGAAGGGGCAACTCAAAATGTGCCCATCAGGCGGCCCATGTACGTGGAGCTTGAGTAAGTGGGGCTTGGGTTTGGAACACATGTCCGGGGGGGGGGGGAGGGGGGGGAACGGCTTGCTAATGGGGAAAGTCAAAAAGCGCGACGACGCGGGAGGGCGGGAAGATGCTCACAAGACGGAGGCGAGGTTTTTAATTGCAGGGATACGCTATTGAGACCCCGCTGGCACTTGGCGAGACGAACGAGACTCAAGCGCCACGGGAGCGCCGAAGAGTGAGGAGATCAAACATTACTACTCGGAAGCTACGAGGTGACGTCTGCACGAAAGACCCCTGACGTCAGCAGGTGGATTATCCCCGACAGGGGGGCCCTCACCTGCCTCCCCAGAACGCCTGGACGTAGGGCACGATCGGCCCAAAGTCGTTCTGCACGTTGATGGGGTAGGGGAACGGCGTGGTGTCGCTCAGGTTTAAGGCAACATTCAGCTTGGGGGGGGTGCCCGAATAGAGGAAGGTGTGGGAGTGGCCGCCGACGACCAGGCTCAGGCCTGCAGAAGGGAACGGTCCAGCTTCAGGAGGGGGGGTTTACTAGAAACTTAAGAAAGGGGGGTGGCAAAAGGTTACGGTCAAGCTCAGCTTTGGGGGGGGTGCCCGAGTACAGGAAGGTGTGGAGTGGCCGCCGACGACCAGCCTGAGCTCAGGCCTGGAAAAGTAAACGTCCCAGAATTAAGGGGGGGGCACAAAAATTGTATCGTCCTTGGGGGTCAGTGCACAGCCAATTGTCTCGCCCCCCAAACCTGTTAACGCTCGAGATCATGAAAGGTAAGCGCCATGAAGGGTACCAGTAAACCTGACTGATGACCCAAAAAGATCTTCGCACGCTCTGCACACGTATCCACCCTTTAATTCTAGCTAACCCCGCGTCACGGGGCCTAAAAGTTACAATTCGTGGCGCTATGCCTTTCACAGAATCGACCAAATCCAGATCAAATCTGTAGGTCCCAATTCCAAGCAAGGTAGGCACGATGACGTTTTCAAACGTAATAAATATAGACAATGGGAATGAAATTTGGGCTTACCCGGAACCGATTTCGCCACCACTAGATCATCATCAATTCCACCGTGGCCGAGGCCGATCACGATCTTGACTCCCTGGTTCTTCAGGTCAGCAACGCAGGCGGTGACGGAGGGGATGACCTCAGCAAAGTTGATGTCGGGGCCGGGGGATGACGTGAACTTAGTGTCAGGGGTGACCCAGCCGCAGACGCCGATCTTCGCGATCTCTTGGCCCATCTTGTTCTTCAGGCTGAGGATCTGGAGAACGGGACGACCCGGGTTTAGTTGCTGATGAAGGTCTCAATTCTATGGTCGTTTCAGAAAGACATGATCTGAAGGACCGGGGAAAGCAGTCGTACTTGTACGCCCACGGTTTAGGTAGCCGTATCATTCGACGCTATCCTGTCTTTTACACTACACGATTGTGATTGATAAGGGCTCTCGAGACATACCTGGATGGGCAGCGCTCCGTCCGATTTGGAGAGAGGCTCGGTGTCCTTACTGCCTGCTAAAGGTGCCCACTTGAATTGCCTACAGGATCCAAGCAAGCCTCCAATCTTGAACTAACATCTACAACCGACCTGCATCTCTGTCCACTTTTCCTTGAAATTGGTTACCTGGGGTCGTCACGAAGACATATAGAGGGGGCCGCAAGAACGATCTCATGCCTCCAATTCATTCCAAGGCGGCTCTCTTTTGAGACAGGCAATATGTTGTATCAAACGAACGGCAACTAGAGGCGCGACAGGACACGGCTCACGGTGGACTTGGGGAACTTGTTGTAGATGGGCGACGTGGGGTTGGGCACGGTGTTGGTGCCCACGATGGGGAAGTTGAGCTGCGAGATGTAGTCGGCCAAAACCTGGGGGCCCTTGTCGAACTCGTGGTTGCCGAACGTCTGAAAAAAGACAGAGCGCCAAGTAAGGAACGCAGAGCACCGGAGGAGTACAAGAGGGATGGTGAGACGCACGAAAGAGAAAGGGTAAGGTAGCAGGGAAGGAAGGGCACGCAAGTGACGAGAATGTGCAGTGCTTGTCATTATCGTAGTTGCCAGATTCTGTACGAGGAGAAAGCACTGGTCGGACAGAATCGTACAAGGCAAAGGAGACCTCGCCGCTCCGTCAAACCTTGCTGCCTGATCTGAGGCCGTTCTGAGCTGATCGCAAAAATCAGAATCCTGGCTGCAGAGCTCGAAGTCCTGGCTGCATCTGAGTGCTCAGGTCGACTGGCCTAAGATTTGCGGATGGAGGCTTGTCAATACAGGCAACAAGCTTTGTCGAAGCTGTAGTATATAAAAACTAACCATCGTTAAACGGTGGATCAAGGAAAGGCGGGAAAGCCCTTTCAGAGCTGAGTGTCAAAAGCAAGAGAATTCGAAAACTGGACAGTGCCCGTCGGTCACGCTCGTAGTAAGCTTTATGATTTGGACGGCTTCTCCGAGGTCGGCTAGCAAACAAAAGCACTCTAAGGGACCTGGAAAGCAAAGAAGTCACTGATCCTATGAAGATTTTCAGCGCAAGTGTTGGTGAAACAGAACCTGTGGATTCGTGCTTTTATGAAGTAACCAAGAAGCCTGAAGTGGCCATATATCGAGCCTCTTTAAGATTTTCTATCGTGGAAGATCGTGTCCGCCAAACTTGTGCGGTTGGTCAATCATGGAAAAAACCTTCCTTCTAGGACGTTCACAGGGTGCTGACCCTTGTGAAACGCCATGTTGCGCCTAAGGCGCGAGTACGAGTGCCAGCGAGTGTGAGTGCGAGTGCGAATTTGAGTACGTGCCACTTTTCTCTGACCAGCCGAACCTGGTAACGTCGGGAAAAAAGTCTCTTTCACTGCAGCACAGACGGAGAGGTCCCAAGAGCCTTCTTCAGAAGTCTGCAGAGAGATCAGGACCCCAGAGCAACGTCAGCTTCGCAGACTGGTTCCTCACCATGACGTCAAAGCCGAGGAGGTTGAGGAAGGTGGACGACTCCTTGCCGAGGTAGGTCAGACTCCAGAGCGTGCCCGTGAACTCGTCTCCCGCGTTCACGACCAACACGGGCAGGTCCTTGGCACGCTCCTGGTCGATGACGGTGGCCATCTTGGCGTATCCTCCGTAGCAGTCGCCTAAAGAAAGCGAATATTGAACGGTAGTCAACCAAAATTTCGCTCGTTTCTCGGAGATCGAAAATGGTTTCGAGATTGCGGAGGAGGGGCGAACCAGTTGGAGTCCCCTCCGTAGCAGTCACCAGGGATCATTGGAAGCCTGGTTCACGAAGTCTTCTGCAGGTTGCAACGTTGTTGAAGATCGAGAAGGGTTTTGCGATTGTGAAGGAGGGGCGACTTGGAACACTATGAGGGCGGCAGTAATTGAGGAAGGGCTTCCGTAAAGCTCGGGCTCTGTCGGCTGAATTGAATTGAGGATCGTTCCAGGGGCGAGAGTGGGATCACAGGTGTAAACGAAGGAACAACTTTCACATGGAGATCCACCAAAAGCGGCTGGAAAGAAACCGTTAGCTCTACGAGTGAGGACGGTTCAACGTACTATTGCTCGACATGTCGGAAATTCTGAACATCGAGCACATCAATGGCGAGGATTGACGAGATTCTTGAGCGGAACCTTCGCTTTGAATTACAATATCTGCTCCTAAGCAGCCGTGTTTGATCAGTGAAAACTGTGCTTGTCGATTGAACTGGACTAGCGAGCAAGACTAACTACTCTAGAACTTTGCTTACCTGTGCCAGTCTGGCGTGCGGCATTGCACTCGATGAAACTCCTATCCTGCAAACATCAAAGACAGTTTACAAGGTGAAAGGAGCAGAAATGCGGAAGGAACGAAAACTGAAAACATGCATTGCCTTGGAGCTGGTGTGCCGCCCCTGTGTCAAAGTTAGAAATTAGCTGCCATCAACAAGAGCATGCAGGAACGCAAATTCAATAAGAATAGTTGCTGTCTCCTTGTTGCACGCATGTTTCCAAACCAGATCACCCGCTTGATGCAAACCAATATGATGGACTGCTGTCAGCTGCTGTCTCCTTGACTGGCTTTGTTAGATCAACGTGGAATACAACAGAATCGCCAAGCAAAGAGCAGTGTTGCAAGGGAGCCAAAAGGTTGTATTTGGCCAGGACAGACACCGACAAGCTTCGAACGTTACAAGAATTGTGCACTTACCGAAGCCTGGACACGCCCATGGATATCATTGTTGTGAAGCACCGTGAAGGTGACGTCGTTTCCAGGAGCGGCCCCCAGAGTGCACTGGTCGCAGGAGCTCACACAGCAAGTCAGCTGGGTCCCAGCTGCAGACGAGCTGGAGTTGTCAGAGACGCTCCCTCTCGGTTCGACTTTATTCCAGGGACTCTTGTACAGTTCGAGAAATCCATGCCTCGTAACAAACAAGTGACGATACTGAAGCTTGATTTCGTCAAGCATCTCATGGAAGCATCTTGGTGGCCTCAAGGAAAGGTGGACATTGCAAGTGCTGTCAGGACTCGTTGTTTCGAAACATACAAACTGCAAGAGAAAGTGCACCCTAACAATCTCTTCTCGAAATGGCAACTCCCTAAGATGAGATTCAACACTGTTGCATGTTTGGCACCCCTCAACCAGCTAGAGTTCACAACAACACCGTCCTCAGGCTCTCTCAAACATGCTGATCCCAATCGCTGCCAAATGGGGCACTTTTGGCTTCATTAGAGCAAGGGGTAAGGGGGCCAAGGCAGGTCACAAGAAGCTACATGCTCCCCCACAGCAGAACTGTCGTTTAAGATCAAGTACTTGGGATGAAAGCAGCAATTAGGAGGCAAAGCCAAAGGCAATTGCAGCTCATGATCTGCAGCTCGTCACTAAGGGAGTGACCTTTACCTGCGTTGAAGCAAGGGTTCAGGGGCGCAGAGCAAGTGCCGCTGCACACCCCCCCCACGACGCAACCATCTGCTCCGGGGGCAGGGGCCGGGGCAGAGACCTTAGTGGGGGTAGGGGTTGGAGTAGGGGTGGCAGAGGCAGTTGCTGTGGGGGTAGGGGTAGGAGAGGCAGTGGTGGTTGCGGTAGGGGATTGGGAGACGCCAGGGGCGTCGCCAGTGGCCAGGTTGCAAATGTCGCAGCTGCATATGGAAATAGACAGGAGCTCAGTTTGAAAGGCTCAAGACTAGTCTAAGCTCTTGGAGACTTGCAGGTTGCCACCCCTGGTGAGAAATGTAGAGACTGAGGTGGGAAACTGGAGAAGGCCACAGTGTTGCTGGTCCTAGGATGGGATCTTCCATTGATATTGTACTGGTAACCGATGCTATGAGTCAGGCGCCTATCTGACTTGTAGGGGCTTGTGACCTTGTTAACGAGGAAGCTGATGTCACTCACCTTTATTATCACTTACTTGTGGGAAAAATCAGGACTACTAGGACAAAGGCCGAAAAAAGGAGAGTTGAAGGGGCGGTCAAGAAAAGATGATGGCAGTTTCAGTACTCGTTAATCCAGTTGATTGACTACATAGAGTTGTATATTCTAAACATAATTGACTGTCAACCGACCAGTGCATCCACTCTGCCTTCGTCCGCTGAGATGCCACACCCCCTGGTCCATTAGGGTGGTTCTCCCCAGTGAAAGAGTTCGGGAGATCCTTGTATCCTATGTACAGCCTGGAGCAACTAGGCACCAGCCAACGCTCAGGAACAAGTAGTCCTGCAGTCTCAGGAACCAAGATTACACCCAAACGACAGATATATGTAGATCAAGGAGAAGACTTACGCAGAGGTACAGCAGGTCAGCTGCGAGCCGTCAGCATTGTAGCAAGGGTTGAAACCGGTGGCACAGGAGCCCGTGCACCGCCCGCCGCTCAGGCAGCCATTCGCAGTTGGGGCTGGGGTTGTGGTAGGGCCAGGAGTGGGGGCGACCGTTGAGGCCGGGGTTGTGGTGGGAGCAGGGGTCGTGCCGGGAGGATTACCAGTGGACAGATCGCAGTTGAGGCAGCTGCAAATAACAGGAGCCTCTGGAGTTAGTTGCTCAATGAATTTTTTTTGGATGTTTGCGACCAGCATTTTGAGAAGTTGGGAGGATGTGCAGAACAGTCAAGGAGTCAGGGTTCTAGATCTAGTAGCCACTTTTTGACTCCTTGTATCCTTGGTGAAATCTGACATAAAGCAGAGCTCCCTTTCTTGTCACAACTGACCATGATTAGCCCTAACTGGACACAAAATGCAGAGTAGCCACACATGTGACTTGCTAATTCTTCCAGATCTCTTAATGTGTGAAGTATTCCAACCATAGCATATTAGTTGCGCTTGGTGCTGGTTGTCAATCTGTGGAAAAGATCAGTGGCTGCTCAAGGACTTCTCTAAGATGTTAAGCTGCCTCAAAAGCCCCAGAGGTAATGTCATAGATGCTCTTTGCAGCATTGTTCTTTTCTTAGCGTCGCACTTTTTATTCCAGCAACAAAAAGGTTGAGGAAAATAGGACAGGTCCATCTGAACAGGGTTTTCACGGGTATCCTTATATTTTAAATAACGATCACTATTGCGCATCTGAAAAACATCATCAATGTGCGTATTCACTCTTAACATATGTTAAACAACTCTGATCTCCGCCAAAAAACCTCTTGTTTTGGTTGGTAAGACACTCTGTAGCAGGTTGAAGAACTTATGATCCAGATCGACACACAAGATTTCAGGAGCAGTGACTGCAAGCTGCTAAGTAGGCTGCTTGTTACTGCTTCCACTACAAGTAGGTAATAGCAGGATAACTCACGTCGAGGTGCAGCAAGTCAGCTGCGACCCATCTACATTGTAGCAAGGGTTGAAACCTGCAGCGCAGCTCCCGCTGCAAAAACCTGCAGTCGCACAACTTTGAGCTGACACAAGACCGACAAGCGCAGCCGCTGACAGCAGAGCCAGCACGATTGTCTTTTCCAGACGCGCCATTTCAGCAATCGCTAGCAGACTGTCTCGATGGGAATGAATGCTGCTGATAAAACGACCAATACACTTTCAGCTGCCTTAAAAAGTCTTGCTGCAAATTGCAGGAAATTGGCCACGGAACTGCCGTCTTGCGGTGAGGACAACTTAGGAAGGTAATTAATGGCGCCAATATCTTAATACAATTCAGGGAATCTGCTTGGATCAAGCAGAAGAAATATATAACAAGAAGGGATGACGAGGCAATAGGTAGGTAGCAGCTTCCTCCAGCAGAGCACACGAGAGACTCGTACCTAAGGCTATTACCTAGTGGTCACTCTCGAGTCTCGTTCCAAAATTCTGATGCTCAGAGGATCTGACACAATCTTTGGCGGGCCCGGCCGCCAGCCCAGCGCCCGCCCAGGGGTCAGCCACAGGCTTTTGGAAATGTCGGCTCGAAGCCGACTACCGTACTTTCTCATAATTGATACTCTGCTGGCTACATGACGCCCAAAAAACCTACACTATTTTAAACTTTCTGTATAGGGGCAAGCCGACTGTGTTGACCCAGTGTCGAGGGCGGAGCCGACGACTCACAGCAGATGTCGGCTTCTGCTCCGAGGAAAAATCAGCTTTTCCGATTCGTGTCGGCTTTTCAAAAGCTTATATGTCCCGGAGTCGGCTTATGGCGACCCTCGCCGGCGGCAATCTGCGGGGCCGAAACAAAGCCGGGATTGTGACCCGAGCAACCAGCCACTCCGACTGCACTTCACTTCTCCTTCACCAGCCACTTGTATTTCACAAACTGTGCATGGAGGGCTGACCAGTGACGACCAGCTGGCGTGCTCCTCTGAAAAAATGATTCCATGATGACGAAAGAGCAGGACATCTTTGGAGTCTTTGGCAACGGCATACAGTGCATTTGTGTCGAACGTCAGGGAACTCTGGGAATCTAGATCTGGCCGGGCCCCGGGGGACGAGGGCCGGGCGCCCCCCTAGCTGGCAGCTAAAAATCCAGGTTTGCAGTCTGAGTTCGCCGCACATGCACCGGTATCCGATACCTGCCCAGTACCTACCCCAACAGATTACAAAAGCACTGTACGCAGGAGCGGCTTGAGGATGAAGCCGGTTCGTCCAAGATTCCATTCCAATCATTGGATGCCCTGCAGTCCGTACAGCACGTACTTAGCTCCGAGGCTCAGTTCCGGTTCCGGAATCCGGGCTATGCCATCGGGTTAGTTCCGCTAGTCCTCCACACGGCGTACAACCATGCATCATTGCAAACGAACAGAAAGGGCCGGTTTCGTCCTTGCGAGGGACTCGAGCTTGGTTACACAGGCCCAGGGGCAGTGGTACATCATGAGCGAAGTGCAATAGCGTTACTTGCACTGCATTCACCTCGAAAAAGTCAATGATCGAGCCGTGTCCAATCACATGTACACTTTTTCTTTGCCCTCTGGGCTATACCGAAAGAAACCATCTATAGTGCTACACCGCGATAACCCGAAATCGAAAGCAATCCGTAATTCGGCCATTGCATTCGATGGTTTTGTTTTGTAACCTATAGATATTGACGGTGGTGGCAACGCTCAGAAGAGTGCGTGCACCCATTCCTGATCCGGTATCCGTGTATGGAAACAGTATATGGAAACAAGCTTCCTGCTCGGCTTCCATGACCAGTATTTTTAAGGTATGAGTACCACAAAGTCATTGCCACATTGATTCCGGCAACAAACGTTCATATTCAATACGTACACTCGACTTTCTAGTACGTTCACCGCTGTCGAAGGTTGAAGTACAAGAATCTGTCAGAACAAGACGGTCTTTATCACATGTGGCATCGACAGATCTTTGACATCGTAGTGGTCTGATCATGCAACACTTTGCATGTACAATAGAACTGTGGTGTCAGTATATATGTATGAAAGGGCCTGGAGGGAGGGAGGGAGCTCATACTCTGTCCTCCGAACAAATTCTTGAGGCTTGAGACGGATCTGCAGAACCGAGGGAACGTACGTGAAATCTTTTACTTAGGCCATCGAATGATAAAGAGTTGACAAAAGGTCAGTAACTTCTTGTTTTCTTCATGGTAATATCAGTGAGCGTCGCCTTTTCCCAACCAGCAGAATTTGTTTGGCAATCGGGGCTCATGGCCGTTTCATCAAATATGCACTTTCCTCTTCGTACATAGAACATCTCATTTGAGAACTAGTCTTGAGCAGTCTCGGAAATTGGGTAAAGGTTCAGTTGAAGGCTACAGATCAGATCAGCTCTCAACGATCCAATTCACAAGAATCCATGTACTATACACAGCCTACCATACGGTGGGATGGCAAAGAGGCAAGTGCCTTCTTATAAAGTCTCACCTTTCTTACATTTTGAGGAATCCACAACCACATCAGGACTACCCTGGCACCCACAATCCCAGAGTGATACTGTTCTATGAGAACAAATGCTATGAATGTACGAACCAGTCCTTGGAAGAGCTTACTTATTGGAGCATGCAAGCAGTCGCACGACCAGGCGACACCTGTTTAGCGATCGCTCCGAATCCTCAAGCCCCCTGCAATGCATCAAAATACTACATTTCAAAGTTGAGCAAAATAATGCCAGCTGATGACAGGATTGTTCCCTCGATATGTGTCCAGAGATGGAACTGCTTTATTGATTCGCATGCACCAATACAGCATTGCGAGGATGTTCGTACATACTGCTATCGACCCGCTGACAGAGCCACTCACTTTCAACTCCTTAGACATGATCAAGAAAAATTCATACGAGGAAAGTAAGCACAGTCTCTTTCTCGGCAAGCCATATTGTAGGCTCCATCTCGATCTTTCAGTCGTTTTCAGAAAGAATACCTTCTAAAACGAAAACTGCACACAACCTGTGTAGCCCTCGTAATTGAAACGATTCAAAAACTGCACACAACCTGTGTAGCCCTCGTAAATCAAACTATTCAACAAATACCTTCCATCACTAATCATGTGCGTGCACGGCGGCAAAACGAACGGGCTCAACAAAGGTCTAAAAAACGCACTCGTCAGAGTGGCCTTATAAGGGTCCTCAGCTCACTCCTGAACCTTGGTTAAAAACAGGGCCAGCATTCAGCAGACAAAAGTTCCATCGGAGCAGTGAATGCTTGGAGCGGTAAGACATGGCGGGACTAACCTTGAGCATCTTGGCCTTCCTGTAGCCTGTCCCTAAGCTGACCGGAAACCGCTCAGTGCGTCCTCAGTCCATCTTGACAACCGGCATGGCCTCGTCCCACGGCCCATGGATCTCATACTTGTACTTCTCGATCTTGATCAGCCAGTAGGGGCAGATGAAGGTGACAGACAGAATGAGCGCCAGGAAGAGGGCAGTCAGGAGCGGGCTTAGCGGCAGCAGGAGCCCTGTTGTAAGAGAGACCATTGACAGGGACAGCGTGACGTGGCGCTTCTGAGAGTACTTCTTGACGTGGTGCCTCAGCACTGGAAAGAGGACGAAGAACTCTACGGAGAAGAGCACAAGCGCAAAGACTTGCATGTGGGAGGGGAGGCGGGAGGAAACTAGGACCGAGGCGAAGATGGCGGCGTTGATGGAGATGCTGCCAGAGAACTTGGTGCTGTACGTGCTGGAGTAGGAGTAATCGTGGAAGAAGAGGTGCAGTAGTAAGAGGCCGATGGAAAGGGCCCATATGGTGTCAGAGCTTATGGACCGGGTCAAGGTTTGCAGGACGGGGGAGAGGATGTAAACCCCGCTGACAAAAAGGGCGCAGTTGAAGGCATTGCGTGTGACGGTCTCGCGCCGCCAGTGGCGCGGGTCCTTGAGGAGAAAAGCGACGTATCCCAGCAGCAGGCTGGCTGCATCTACCGCCAGCAGAGCAGTCGCAGAAAGGGCCCCCAAAAGAGTTAAAGCGGAAACTGCAGACACGACGGCCACCGTGCAGATTTGCTGCGAGATGACGGTGGAGTCGCGCACCACCGTCCAGTAGTCCCTCTTCACAAAGTTGGCGTTTGTGATCATCGAGCTGAGGAATGACGCGTCGGTGTAGTTGTCCTCGTAGGGCTGCTTGAGGTAGAGCACCTTTTGCCAAGGGGGCCGGTACTTTTCCGTCCGGTCAGCAGCCAGTCGAGGCGCTTTGCATTGAGAGCAGAAGGGGAGGTTCGCTACATAAGGGACCCCGTCCCAGGGGCAGAATTGGAAGGGCACTGCGGGGTCCTGAGAAGTGGCCATTGCTGCAATCAACGACTTTTGCATCATGAGATGCTGGTGCACCCCTCGATTGAATCACGACATGCCCCCAGACACAAGCCAGCACTCTCTGACCTGATTATCCTGAAATTGAACACCCCTGATCCTCACTGAAGAAGCAATGCTGACACTGCGATTTGGAAGGGGTTAGGGACGTGCAGAAACAGCTTTGCCCTTTTCTGTTGTCCGCAAACTTGGCGACTTGGCGATTGGTTTCCTAGATCGTGATCGCCTGGTCCCCGCCTGGAGATGAACTGCAGGAAGCCCTTCAATGAAATGGCAATCAGGGGCCGCTCCTGTTGTTTATCATCCCATGAGCTTTTCCTGGTTGACTGCCACGATTCAAATCATGTGTGAGAGAAACTTGAACCTTCCAGCTATACTACGGTAATAGCCAATGGAGCTGCTCGAGCTTTTTAGGGTTCCAGATCTTGGGCAGGGTTTGAGGAGGGTTAAAGGTTTCCAGCTGCGCTGACCAGAGGGTTAAAACTTAAGGATGAAGTTAACACTGAGATCCAGCGTGCATGAAAGAACTTCCAAAATCGCTCCAACTTCCAAGAACTTGAAGTTGGAGCTGGTGGTGGCGTTGGCCCTGAGAGAAATTGCATGGCGCATGGGTGCCGTATCAACCGGATGCTCTGAAAGAAACCTTCAATCCAGACAGAGGCCAAGGCCGCTTGTGTTTTGCCAAAAATCGCCGACCCTCAGGAAGGCGGTGGAAGCTTTTCAAAAGCGCGATCATCTACCGCTCACCAACTGTCAATCCACGAACAACATAGAAGCACCTTTGTGTTTAGCTGTTCACTCGTCTGTTCTGCATCAGGTCTGCATACGAGGATGGCTTGGCTAGAGGGGAGCCAGGTGGTGTTTTCATCGATCCGCCGCGCGTTACAGATTGCCGTGATACACCCAAGCTTTGGGCCGCCGTTACGAGAGAAGGTGGCTGCGGTTCCGTCCCTTCATCTAAGGAGGTGGTTTGCAGAAGCAGTCCGTGTGGAAAGTTTCACGGACGATGATACTGTGCACATAACCGAAAGCTGCGCTCAGGTGAGGGGGTGGTCGGCCTTTTAAGTTTCACTTGTTACTGTCAATCTCCTCTTGTCATGGTCCCCTTCTGAGAGAAGCTGCATGTGTTGATTTCAAACTTGAATCCTCTGTCTTTATGTTGGAGTCTGACCAGATTCGTGGTACGTGCTCAGCATTGCATGCCGGCATACCAGAAGTTTGCAGCATACAGCATGTGCAAGGTCGAAAAGCGCCCGTCATTCCAGATCCTTCTATGTGTCCTTACTTCTGTGACAAATACATGTGGGTTGCCAATGATACTTTCAGTGCACCCACTTTCAGGACAGACTTTCATGAGCTGTGACGATGGTCACTTTACCTTAAGGTCAGTAGATCTCTAGCGCCTGAGGTCTGGACACGTTCAAGTCTGCAAACAAGTCTCTTTCAATTCGGTCCCAATTATCATGCAGCGGTCAGGTGCTCACGTCTCGGGAAACCTTCGATTCTCTTGTTGAGTTCGTTCATGTGCCAATTGTTGCACATAAACTTGGACTTCTTTATGGACTGATAAGTATGAGAGCCTTTCATGAAACACCTGCCGTGGAGGTTGCTAGGAACCCGCTCAGCATTGTCTGTGCCAATCCCCCTGAAAGTGCACCTATCCAGCAACCCTGCATCGCATACTGTTTTTAAGAGTGCATCAAAGGTTGGAGGAGGGCAACACAACACAAGTAGCAGATTGTAAAGCTTTCAGGAGGGTCTCTCTCAAATGGCTGGCCACTCAAACCTGAGTCATCACTATCGCAGCTCTCTGACCTTTCTTGTTATGTTACACCCTCCTCCGTTCACCTTCTCTGCTTAGTGTGCAACTTAAGGATCTCATTAGCAGAGAAAGGAGGTATCACGCTGACCAAGTACTGGTCACTCCCGCTACCACGGCCGTTCCTTGACTTTAATCAACCTTGTTCCTCACTTTTGATTAACTTTGTGCTTTTACCAACGATCTCGTCTTCTTTCTATTCCTGGAATTGTTGCAGACTCTTAAGTTGGGTGTAGGCCATGCATGGGCAACGCTGATTGTACGGTGCCAAGACCCTCAGAAAACTGCTGTTTGAAATTGAATCTTTTCTGAATTTGTGATGCCGACGGAGATAGCGGCTGACGTCAGGCGGACCCAGAAGCCCCCTTAAACAGTTGTAGCTGGGGGAGGGGATTGCTTATGAACCCGTTTCCCCTGCGTTACAACCTTGATTCTAACCAAGCCTTCCTTTGCCCATGCTTCAGTGTTCGAAAGAGGCCCTCCAGGGGCCCAAACTCGACTGCTAACCATGTATCTTTTCATGTACCTAAACAAATGATCTCTTCTTATATGCTTTGCAGCGTTTGAAAGAGCTCCAACAGGAGGAGGGCGTGTCGCCTGACCAGTTGATGCTGCGGCTCAGCGTCGAGGGCGGGGGATGCTCGGGCTTCCAATATTCCTTTAGTCTAGATAGTAAATTGCAGCCTGACGACAGGTGAGAAGCGTAGACATGTCATCGTTTCGGTGGTGAAATTAAGTAGAGAAAAGCTTCGAACTGTTTGAACGCTGGCTCATCGCTGCAGATTTGAGATACTCGGGCTTCCAGACTCCCTTCGGTACCAACATAAGATGACATCCGACAGGATTGTAACAGCACAACAGAAGATCAGAGGCTATGCCATGGTCGGGCTCAGTGTAACAGGAAAGGGTGCCCCAATCGTTCCTTGATTGACTTGGTTGAATCCTTGTGAGGGCAGGTAATGTAGACAAGCTCTGACAATTGAGAGACTTCCAAACTTCGGGTTTTGCTCGGGCGTTTGGGTCTTTTGAAAGCAGCTTTCGGGTTTGAGATGAGAGACTTACCCTCGGTACAATGCTTTTCACCAAATGAAAGCGAGCACACTTTGCCTCGAACCTGGGGGGCTGTTGTTGCTCTATACCGTTGCTCGAAACCAGTCAAGATTTCATCAATCACGTTTTCTAGAGAACCCAAAAGGCCAACTTAGGTCTTGCATCTCAAAATAATTCTTGGTCTTGCAAAGGTGAAGTACGTCATTAGCGGTTGCTCTCTTCGTTTGAACGCTTTTGAGAACGACGGGATAGGTTAACGAGGAGATTGTTCGACGCATCTGGGGAAGAAGGAAATGAATGAGAAGGGACCGAAGAAGAGTTGCTTGGGTAGAAACGGAAAGTTAAAGAGCAGACGGGTCCCTGTTTTGGTTATTGTGCAGGGTCATCAGTTGCTGTCGCTGTCTCTGTTCAACGCAGTTTGAAAGGGTGCAAAACAGTAAAAAACGAATGAGTAGAAAAGGTCAAGCAAGAGCTGAAATCAAAACGAGTTAAAGCGTTGTTCCTTTTCTGTTCTTACAGAGTGTTTCGACGAAACGGCGCGCAGCTTCTCGTGGACAAGGTCTCGTACGCTTTCGTCAAGGGGGCGACCGTCGACTTTTCCGAAGAGCTCATCCGATCCGCATTTACGGTGCGTTCCGCTTCTACTTTTCTCCTGGTTCTCCCAGAGTTTATTCCCTTCCCCTCTTTCCTTAGGCCCCATTCACCTGCGTTGTGCTGTGTCGACTTCATTTCTTTGTTTGGTTCTGTTCCTGAGTCGGCTTAACGGATGAAGAGTACGAATGTTGCATGCATCAACGAAGCTGTACCCGGGACTTTCCAGCCTCGGTGACTATTGTCTCACAATCAAACGAAGTGTGATCAGGCTTCCGGAAGATACTTGAAAGTGCGTGAAACAGTCTTGGAGCTTCTTGAAGCGCCAAATCATGGTATCTCGGAGCCATACCGAGTCTACTTCTCGTGCTCTCTTGCAAGCCAATTGCTGTCAAGCGTTCAATTATTGTTCTTGCGCAAAATCAGTTTCCGCAACGGATCCAGCTTAGGATCTAGACAGAATGTCCTCAAGTGATCGGACGACCCTGCTACAAGCAATTTTAGAGCTTGTCACCAGGCACATAGGTGCAGTCAAATCAATGACCAGGCTGCATTGTAAGCTTAACCGTATCTGTTCTATTGTTGTCGCAGGTTGTCGACAACCCAAATTCAACGTCGGCGTGTGGGTGTGGGACATCATTCGCCGCCAAGTAGAGGTTCCATAATGGTCGCAGACACGGGTTCTCACGTCATTGAAGGTCATCGAGTTGCTTCAATGACACATTCTTCATAGACAGAGAGATTGTAAATATGTAAAGCTTCCAATGCCATGAGTCAGCAACCTAGATCGATATCTGCGGTACACTATCGACAGGCATGGTAACTTCCAATCCGTTAACGCCCTTGGCCGCCATGGAGCCGTGGAGCATGGTCTCCGTTACGGCCGGGAACTTGTTTTTTACTCCGCAGGTTGCTATGGCTATGATACATGTCCAGCAAAATATGCACATGTAAACCCTAATGCTACATGGACGTCGCTAACAAGCAATTTAGCTATCATGGTCAGTGTGCCAATCGATCATGCATGGCGTTGTGCAAAGCACAATGGTAATGTTCGTATGCAACGCAAAGTGAGATACGCTGCTCGGACTTAGTTTCGAAACACAGGCTGTGACGGTCCGAGTTGGCGCCTTGCCCGATACAGTTCTGAGCGCTTGCGACTACGCATCAAGTTGGTTCGATTATGAGTCGCCTAATTACTATATACGAGGCGCTGTACACGTCAGCTCATATAACCCATCCTTCACGACGTACCTATCTAGTTAGCATGTTGGCATCCACTGACCTCGATCAACCAATCACGAAGTTTGACATCAAATTGCTCAATTGCATGACTTGGCAGCACTTCGAGGCCAGGCTTGCATCATTGCGTGGCGCGAAGCCAGATCACATGTTGCATGCCAAGGCATATGGATAAAACTGGCGGCCACGACCTCGAGCCCAACTCTACATGGCTGCACAAATGGTCCTATAGGCAGCTAGCATGGGCCATATATATTCCGCATGCATGGCCGGTGCCTAATGGAATATTTCATACATGCAACATGGGCATTAGTATATAGCGCTGCCCCGTGCCGCCTCCGATGGTCACGCCGGCCGCGGCCGCGCAAGTTATAATGACAAGTAGTGACTGCATGACGGAGCTGGCATTGAGTGCTCGTACGAGCCGCCGCGCGTGCTCGCGATAATCGTGAGGCGGCCGGGCCGGTGTCCGGCCAGGGCGCACTTAGGATTGGGTATACAGTTTTAAAGTGTGCACGATTGGAGAGTCCGGCGTTGATTTGGGTGAGATTCAAACGATCGGATTATTCATGCAGCAGGGCTTGTTGCCAAGCTGGCAGTGGGCTTTCTCAATGACGGCACTAGGAATCCGAGTTAGATAACATTTGATCAAAGTACCTTGTCATTGAGTCCGGCTTTCGGTAGGGTCACCCCAGCCACATTCCGTGAGCCTCATGCACCGCCTGATGATAAGGGCGTGGAGGCTCACATTGGGCTCAAAACATCCCGGCCACGGCCAGCCAATACTTGTCGAACCGTACCTGTGTGTCGCTTACAAGCTGGCATGCATGAGCCGGATGCCGACTCTTTCCGGAAATCGAACAAAAGGGATCACTAATTCACCTATCGGTTGCGGTGGGCAACGGTCACGGAACCTCTGATTTCACCTTTGACCCTTTCTTAGTGGCCAGCATACCTACAACATGCCGGAACACAAGGCCTTTTCATCAACGTCATGGTTTCGCTGATCGACACTTATTTACACGGGGACCTGGAAGTCACAATTTCAAACTACTGAACTTCGTATGCACCAACTTCTAGTTCCGACATAGGCATCGAACCCTGGACACCCACATGTGTCAACGGTCACCATCGATCTTGGGACTCTAGATCTGACCGGACTGGAAAGTCAAGTCCATTCAAAGCTGGAATACGCCGAAAGTCTTCTTCGGTGTACAAAGGGAGGAGCCAAATCAGGGGCCTCAAACCGAAGACCTGCACGCAGAGCGGGTCAGGATCAAGACGTGACAGTAAATTCCTTTATGCGCAAGTGCTGTTCGTTTTAGCCTTAAAGATGTGAGAATAACAACCCTATACTTGCCAGACATTAATAACGGGGGTACGTAGAAAGAAGCAACACTTGAACCGATAACCTAGAAGGAACAGATTTAAGTCTGTCGTGTTTACCAATTTCACCAAGGGAGCAGATCGCCCCCACATAAACAACCAAAAAGATCAGCGAATGATCGTTCACAGCAATCAAACGCTGAATGTTTGCTCCGGATGCAGACCTTCTGCAAAGGTCTACACGTCACAAAACCTACTGAAATGCTGACGCTCCAAGAGCGAGCAGACACAAGCGACGAACGCTCCAAGCTTTCTAGCGGACAACTACAAGGCTCACCTGCTCGAAGTTTTTCCGCTTCCCAACATCAAACCGCCACCGGCTCCCCACTTTCTTTTCAAAAGCCTGCAAACGTGCAACGAGACACTCGGTCAGACTCGATGTGGCCTTCTTTGCAAACGCTGGACTGAAGTCAACTGCATCTGCTGGAGCGACAGTGCAACTGTTTAAGGCGGTACAGTGCCTGGCCATCCCATGAGCCTCCCTTAACTCTCTGCACTGTTGTTACAGATGTCTGAACACGTCTGCGTTTCTTGGTATCTTCATCTGCAAATATGCAAGGGATATGATTGGAAGAGAGGTGCCTACGACCAACTCTGCCAAACGCTCTGTCCTCAACTCCCCAATCTGTCCTTAACCCTCCAAAGAGAACCGCTTCCTTTTCGTTTCTGATCGGACGATACCCTATGAGCCCAAAGGACGCGAGAGAACACAGCAAGCCACGCGATAGACCCCTTTAATCTCAGATATTTGCACATAAATGGAATCCGTTGGAAAAACAACTGAAAAAGAAGCCCGAACACCAAAGTGTGCATACTCCACACCCTTCGCGCGATGAAGCCCCGATTAGTCCAAGCCGTCCCTAGGTTCGGTGCCTTGTTAACCCTCCGTAACAGACAGATCTTGAATTGAATTTTCAAAATTCTCAAATTTTCAAAATGGAATGTTAAAATATCAAACAAAAAAGAGGGCGCCCACGCACCTCTATGGTGGTCGTGTTGCTCAGGACCATCGACGTGTGCATCACCAGGAAGCCCAGGACGCTCAGGGCAAACGCCAGGTTAAGGACTGCAAACCCGGGTTTGAAAGGGGGTTAACGCCTCCTTCAAACGGGTAAAGAGTGCAACATCGGACTTCAATGGGATGCGGGACTGCATACCCGACTTAAGGCGGTCCGAAGCTTCAACAGAGTTAAGGACGGTAAAAAACTAATCTTAACGACGTTGAGACAGGCAAAACAGGGTTGGGTCAGGATCCAACGGGGCTTTGGACCAAAGTATCTGATTTTGTGTTGCAGCCTAATCTGCGGCGAATGTTGCCACGAGGCTCCGATGAGATGAGAATTCCAGCGACGCCGTTTACTGACATTTGGAAGGAAAAGGATTAAAGCCCGAAAGTACTGCCCAGAGGCCGGTTGCGCAACCTTGACTCAGAGAAAGCAGAATACAACAAATGGCTCTGCTGGCTTGAAGAACCACTTCCAAACAGGACTTGACCTTGGCTCGGAAAACCCTTCGAAAAAGTTGACCTTGGCTTACTAGAGTACGACTTCATATATAAAAGGTGACCTTTCAATGACCGATCGTGGCCGCGTGATTCGTGCGGTTTCCAGGGGACTAGCAAATGGCGACGAAGATTGATGCCGCGTTTCGTCGGCAAGTTGCACGCAACGAACCTCAGTATATCTGCACGAAAAAAGGTGACAGTGACGTCGGATGACGTCAGCGAGGTTGCGACCGGGGGCTCACCAAAGGCGAGGAACACGGTGGCGAGGTTGCTGGCGGACTGGGCCTGCTGGTCCTCGTCTTGGAAGAAGAAGATGAAGTGGGGGAGCAGCGCGGCGGCGGTCAGCGTGCACTCGAGAAAGGTGTACAGCTGCGCAGGAGGGTCGGAAATCAATTTCTAGCTTTTTGCCTTGTTCTTGTCTAAGATTTTCCTGTGCTTCAGAGGTGATGAACTGGGGGAGCAGCACGGCAGCGGTGAGCGTGCACTCCAGAAACGTGTACAGCTGCCCAGGGAGGTCAGATAGTCAGTCTCCTTTCGTTCTGTTATTATTCTGTTACTTCTTAGCGCTTTAAATGCTTGATAAAGGATGAAGTGGGGCAGCAGCGCGGCGGCGGTCAGCGTGCACTCGAGGAACGTGTAGAGCTGCGCAAAAGGGTTAGAATAACATTTTTAGCTGTTTTGATCTCCGTTGTCAATCTATCCTCGGCTTCAGATGCGACATCTGAAAAAAGATGAAGTGGGGGAGGAACGCAGCGGCAGTCAGCGTGCACTCCAGGAACGTGTACAGCTGCGCAGGTGGGTCGAATATTCATTTCTGGCTTCCTTCTTCTACTTTTGTTTTCTCCTACTTTTGTTTTGGAAATCCTCTGCTTTAGATGGGATACGTACTATAAAGAAAGATGAAGAGCAACGCGGCAGCGGTCAGCGTGCACTCCAAAAATGTGTACAGCTGCGCAGGGAGGTCAGATAGTCAATTCGTGTTTCGTTCTGTTACTATTTCATTTCTTCTTCTGCTTCGGATGCAGTGAATGAAAAAAGATAAAGTCAAGGAGCAGCGCGTGCACTCGAACTACGTGTAAAGCTGCGCAGGAGGATCCACAAATTAGTTCTAGCTTTTTGTATTGTTTTTTATTTTTGATTTCCTCCGCTTCAGATGCGATCTCAAAAAGAAGATGAAGTGAGGAAGCAGCGCGGCGGCGGTGAGCGTGCACTCGAGGAACGTGTACAGCTGCGCAAAAGGGTCGGAGATTCATTTCTAGCTGTTTTTATTTTCGTTGTCGTGTGATTCTCTGCTTCAGATGCGACAGCGGTCAGCGTGCACTCCAGGAACCCTTGAAGCTGCGCAGGAAGGTCATACGTTTGATCTCCTTTCGTTCCGTTTCCGTTTTCATTCGTTTATTTCATTTAAATGCGATACTGAAAAAGACGACGAAGAGCAGCGGCGCGGCGACCAGCGTGGACTTGAGGACCGTGTAGAGCTGCGGAGAAGGAAGCCAAGGTTCAGGTTTCAGCAGAGTTCACCAGTCAGTACGCGATTCCAAAAACGACGAGAAGGTGATAATGACAAGTAGAACGAAAAGAACAAAGTAGGCCGACAAGTAAAACGAAAAAACAAAATAAGCTGACACGACATCACAAACGAACGGTAAAAGACGAAATTAGAGAGGAGATAACGCGCGGAAGGAGCCGCAATCGTGAGCGTGAGAAGCATTTGCTGACGCACTCGGAGGGGCGTTCCCATCAAAGGAAGTCGATGAACGAAGCGAGGAAAAGACGCAGCCCCTATCGCTAGACAAGAAATGGATCTGCGGGAAGACGGATAAGCTGAATCCCAGGTGCATCCGAACGTGGCGCAAAATGGTTCTCAAACCACTTCTCCTCAGGTTCTTGCCAACTATCACTATAGCCGGATGTAAGATGTTGCCCTTCGTAGAACGACCTCTGCAACTTGAATGCTGAAGAGGGGCAGCATGAGCGATGCCCGGATGCGCCTATCGAAGTCTGCTTGGGACTCTGAAGCCCTGGTTTTGAGTCCCGAGGACAAAGGCCCTTTTATGAACAGCAGAAAACCGAGAGCGTCGGGCAACCAGAGTACAGATGAGCGAACGAATTCGTGGTCCCAAAAAGGCACCCAGGTTTCAAAAGACACGATGGGCCCGCGGCGACTGCGCTCTCGGCAGCTTTCCTTATGCTGCCTTTTTTGCCGACTGGTCAATCTCCGCTGACCTAATTCTGTCACTGTGGGACTGCCGCTATCTTCGATGTTCTCTTGGGGTGCCACTAGCAATTGTCCGTCGAGCTACGTAAGCTCACCAGAAACAAGAGGAAGAACTTGTAGTTCTTGGCCCCGACGCAATTGACGACCCACACGCAGTGGTGGTCCATTCGGAGGATGCACCGCTGGCCTGCACACAGAGGGCGGCGGGTTCAGACAAACCAAAGCTTTGTCGCAAAGTGTTCCGAGACCAAAATGATCTGAATGTTCGTTGATCCAGGAGACATGATTTGAAGTTATCCAGAGCCTCCACTGGACCAAGCCAAGGTCACCTTCGTCCTTAAAAAAAAAAACCTACTATTCTAGGAAACAAATATTGATGGATCACATAGAAAGCTCTCTACATCAGCCTCGATCCACCTGCACAATCGAATTTTCAACGAGACTTGATACAGAGCCAGGATCTAAAGTTGACATGAAGGGCTCTCAAGAGGGCAGTAGTTTTATGCCCCTCGATTTGATCCGAGCTAGTTCTCTCTGGTAAGCAATCCCACTCGGAGTGGTCCTCAGATTTTGAGCCCCAAGACTTCGGGGGCGTCCTTTGAACGAACTGGTCATTGTTCCTCAGAATGTGGAAATCAGCCCGGACTTGCGTGGACTTGGATCATCTTCCAGCTCACCCGCTAGCCTCCGGTCGGCAAGCAAGTTCTATAATACCCGTCCCCTCCTGCTTTTGACGTCACCCGGCTCATTGGGGCATGCAAACTTCCGACGTACAATTTAACAGGCTACGTTTTGCACCACAGAGCACTGCATGGAAATGAATGGAACAGCAGGACTCTGCAAAATGAATGGAGCAGCAGAAGTCTATCAGTTCGAAGTTGGCACTCACAAACTGAGCAGTGGTGACATCGCGCCGGCTTGAATGCCATGCACTTCCTGCAGTACCGCGGCCGCCTGCCGCCAACCGCTCCCCCGGGGGGGTCCCCTGCAGCACTGTCTGGAGCCCCCTGGGACGGAACCGCCCCCGAAAACGGCGCAGTCTCCCCGAGCTCTTCGTCCTGCTCCTGGGGGGGCGGCCGCCAGCCGGAAGGGACCCCCCCAGGGTCAGTGAAAACGACGGCGAAGTACGACCAGAGCAGCATGAAAAGCTGCAGGGAGGAGAGGCGAAAGTCGGGGGTCATTGCATTCTGAAAGAAGATGTAAAGATGAGCAGTGTTTTTTGCAATATAAAAACGAGCATGTGAGAGAAGCTGATCTTGCACCAAAGCTTGCTGAACCTAAGAGCGAAGTGCAGCCAGTCTGAAAAAGCCAGTTGCTTTCGCACGTGAGCAAACAGTGCGACACCGATAATTGCCCGCACAAGTTCGATTGAACGCTTTTCAGTCTATTTCGCTGTACAAAGCCCCAACGTCTACCTCAAAAACGAACTGTGTCGATAAAACATAGGAGTGAGAAAAAAAATTGAAGAACTGCAACTCACCAGCACATGGAACGCAAGGATCACTAGGAGCGCCCCCGCTGCCTTGCCCCCCCCGTCTAGTAACTCGGGCCCGTACGATGCCGCCACAACAGCATAGTACGATACACCAACCACTCCTAGGACCACCAGGATCATCAGAGATCCAACCACCTTCAGGCCCTGAGACGCGAGAAGAAAATGTTGATCGATCAGACGAAGGAGAACGAGGAACCGAGAACCGAGACGAGAAGGGTGTTGTGCATGAAGTTTCATAGATGTTTCCTGAATGCGAGAGATAAGACTCAAACAAGCGTGATTGCTAAACCTGAGAGACTGTCTAGATTCCAGTGCTAAAAAAGAGAGGGAGGGGAAAAGGGTTTGCGGGGCTGCAAGTTTGAGCTTTATCATTCATATCAATGGGAAGACATTTAAAAAGTTTTGTGAAGGTTTCTACCATCATACCTGCACATGGGTCAAAGGTAAATTTTTGAGGTTCAGTGCGAATGCTGCAGCTTGACTAGAGAGTCAGGCGGCGCCGGCCCTGTCAAAATCTTGAAAATCGATTCAAGAGAAAGTAAAAGATAAGGAGCAACCAGATAGCAAAAGTGTGGGGGTAAAGTGCTTCCTCGGAATAGCCGCTGAAAAACATTGTGAGAAGGAAGCGCCACATGCATTGGCTACTATGCCATTGAAAGTCCCATTTTTCAGCAAGTCAAATGGCCTTCTCTTTCGTACACAACATTCAATGGCTGGTGAATTGTGAAAGCTATCTGAAAGCTATAATGGAGTGCACTCTGCAAACTTAAATATTGGCCTCACGTCAAAACCCTTCACAAACAAGGGAGAGCCACCTTCCTAACCAGAGGGAACCCTCTTTCCTAACCGCCAATCCCCAATTGCACATCGCAGTAGCCTATCAAAGGGCGACCAAGCTATATGGAAAGGGCCAAGCCCATCACTCACTGTGCAGAAGCGGAACACGTTATACGCCATCTTGAAGCGCCTGCCCAAGAGAGCCACCAGCACCCCTGCCAGGGCTTTCCCAAACCCTAAACCCCGCCGCCGGCCCCGCCTCCCACCAAGCCCGTTGATCGCTCCAAACCCTCCGCTCTGGGAGACTCCAATCGCCCAACGCAGGCACGCGGAGCGATGCGGCTTCAATGGGGGCTCAATCTTGAGCGATGTCCTTCTGCAGATTGTTACTATGTTGATCTAGCTTTGCCACTTTCTGGAAGCGTTCTGCAACCCATCTAGAAGCTGCTTTAGAAGGATACGAGCAGCAGCCCCGAAAGATGGCAATTTCTCAGAGCAGAGCACAAACACACCATTGTGCCAGCTCCAGCTACGGCACCGCCACCTTGCGTTCAGACATTCAATGATCCTCGCCTCCTTCCCGATGCATGGTATGGCTACTTACGAAGCCTTGGTGGGTTTCATGGGGCCCCATCACGGCCAGAACTACAGCTACAGGTAGTGAGGGAGTTGTCCCACAAACGAAAACTTTTGCTAGCGCTCCCAGCTCGGCTCACGCAAAGTGTAGCGCACGCGAAGTATCCTCTGTATACCTACACGCATCACACCATTGGCATACGCTGATCTTCCCTGGATTTTCGCAGAAAGGCGGGAGTTCCCTTGTTTCTCTTTTGTTTGACCGCACGCCCGGGAGCCGAAAAGCTCAGCGGTAGAACTTTTAGAAGCCCAAACTTGAAGTTGCCTCTAACCGGGGAAAGATTATCGTGACAGACTTGAAACCCGAGCCGTCGAATAACGGCCTATCTTTCAACGAACGATCCAGATGATGCCATTTCAAACCACCCGGTGAACTCACTTCTGGCACGTTGAAAGTGCCCGGACGCCGGTTGTGCCAAACAAGAAGCAGAGCCTGCGGCCTGCCATCTTGGAGTCACTTGGACTCCGCTTTTTGTCCAACTTCGAATTCAATGCAGGACGAGCAGATATTTGTGTGTGGTTTGGAAGGAGGAGGCGCCTCTCCAGGCTTTTGGCAAGCAAAGGAAACCACCTGTCAGCAGCGTTTGTGCTCAAAGGCTCTGAAAGAGGCTGCCGGTGAAGACCTGCTTCAACTGCTTCTCGCAAGGGATCATTAAACAAGTGCATGTCTCCGGTACTTGGGCAGGTTGCTAGGGCAAGGCCAACAGGGCGTTTTGTCCCGGCAAGCATCTCCTGCTCTTCCTGCTGGAACAATCTGATGTTAGTGGTTCCATAAGGGAGTGGAAACAAAACTGCTGAGTTCATAGGGTTTTCAGTGGCAGCCTTGCAGCCCTTCAAGCTCCGTGTAAAAGCAAATCCGGTTCCCAAGACAACCCTGGTATCTTTTAAGGTGAACCCTGGCACCGCACGCCCCTGCTCTCGTCCGCCCGGTGCTGCCGGGAGCCGCACCTAGTTGTAGCCCCCTCGAAGTCATTCAGTGCACAAGTCGGCGCTTGCAATCCAGAGCCATCCCCTGTTCAGGAGCTCCAGCGTTTATACCATCTTTGGTGAGTCGCGGCTCAATGTGCAGTTGCCGTTAAGTATGCTTGTGTCCTTGCTTGTGACTGTTTTGTACCTGTGATGGAACGATGGGTGTACTTCTTGATTCTATTGGTATGCAGCGGATTTAGAAAATTACACACACGTTCTGATGTTCAAGTGTTGCTACGCTTGTTGTTGAACAAATCGCTCAAAGCTGACAAATCGTTCTGGAAGACCAGCAAATGCAGAGCTTCTGCAGAAAATGCCGACTCAGGTTGAAAGCGCTTCCATTTGATGAAGTTTTCTTGGTACCAGGTGCTGCACTTGTTCAGTACTTGGAAATGTGGACACCTGCTTGAGAGCAACATTGTTGATTTCTAGGTCCTGACCTTAATATGGTGTTATGCAACCAATTCTCAATATCAATTTTGCAGAAACTTTTCAATGTCAATCCGGCATGTATTGAACAAACCTAAGTAGTCTACGTGCCAGCTGCTAATGTACCTCCGTCCTAGGAGTGGTGATGAAGACTCATTGTGGGATAGGGTTTCGGCTGCGTGAGATGGTCTCCGCTTTTTGTCAGCATTGCATGCTGGCACCTGCCAGCGAACACTCGAGTAGAAAGGGCTCGTCTGATTGCTTAAGCTGCAATTCTGTTATCGCCTGCCTTATCGCATGCCTTATGATGCAACTGGCTGCTTGATGACATTTGATTTCCGACCCCTTGTCCTACCATTGTCCTTCTGTCCTCCTCCTTAGGAAATTCAAGAAAGGTAGTCTGACTGGGCCAACCTGATACAGTAGCCTACCCATTTTCGCTTTCTTGGATTTTCTGCCAGGATGACAAAGCAACTCCTTTCTTAATAAGAACTCAGTCTCAGCATACTCAACAGTGCTGTGTCCTTCTTACTTCAATCCTGCAACCACATAGTCATTTGCCGTGGCCGACTTGCGCCACAGGAGGAGGAGTTGTCTGGACAAAGTCACCAGTCAAGGACTTCCCGTTTGTCCGTAGTCAGCAGTCATAATTCTTGCTGCAAGCAGTTTGTCTGTCTACAAGCTGAACTAGCTGCTTAGAGGAGGCAATTAGCTGTCATTAGACTTCAGAGGTGCTTAAGAATCTGGTGGTTTATTTAGCAACTCGATGAAGCAACGGACCAGCCATCACTGCAGCCCTTGCCATCATGGTCAAACAGGTCCCACAAGATTGTTTTGCAGCACAAATCAACCAGTGCGCCATGCCATCCCTGCTCGTGTCTTGACAAACTTGTTCGAGTTAAGCAAATGTCAGTGTTGCTGCTTTGCCATCGCTGCTGAATCTCCCTGGCTCCTCACACACATGTATGTGGTTCGAGGCCCAAGTGTTGGGAATCAACGGTTCCCTGAACCTTCCAGCACCTCCCAAGTTATGAGGTTTCCTTGCCTGCACAACTCTTCTGTGTCTGCCAACAAGCAATGTATCTTTGTCCCTTCTTCATTGCAAAGGTCTCTGTCCTCTGACACTTTACTCATTATGTTGAGGTACAATGAGAAACTCAGATTTACAGTTTTCTGTCAGTTTGCACTTTATTTTGCCACTGCTTTCGATCTCCCTTGTGCCTGCAGCAGACCGGGCACATGCTGCATGCTCACCTTTCCATGGTGCCAAGGCCTTCCTTTTATATTCATAGAAGTGTGTTTTTACATTAGTGTTCTCGAAGTAGTTTTCCCTCCCCCGTACTTTGGATCATTCCGCCATTCCTCTCTCGCCTCCGAGGTCTCAGGACTTACTGATTAGAGCAGTCACTCAACATGTGGATAATCACCCGTGCTTTTGAACAGTTTTCAAAGCGTTATGTTAGCCCCCCCCCCTTCCACAATGAACATACCACCTTCTATTCCCCCTTGCAATCATTCCAATCTCCTAAAAAAAGCAGAACTGAACAGTGACTCGATCATATGAGCAATTCTCCACACTTTCCCCTCCTCCCCGCGCCCTTGTGCAATGGAGAGGGCACCTTCTGTCCCCCTAGATTTGGTGTCATTCTCTTAGGACTTGCTGAATGGAACAGAAACTCGGTACTAACCAACACTCGTCTGTTCTTGGAACATTTCTCGGACCAATACTTACTCCCCTCCTGCGGAATTGTGCAGTGGACGGGGCACCTTCTGTCCCGCTGCTCCCCCCGCTCCGCAGTTGTGGAGGGCCCGACGGAACGCAGCGCCCCCCGGAAGCGGCAGAGGGGG